CCTCTCTCTCCCTCCCTCCCTCTCTCCCTCTCCCTCCCTCCCTCCCTCTGTCTCCCTCCCTCCCTCTGTCTCCCTCCCTCTCTCTGTCTCTCTCCTTCCATCCCTCCCTCTGTCTCCCTCCCTCCCTCCCTCTGTCTCTCTCCCTCCCTCCCTCCATCTCTGTTGATTAAGACAAAGCGGTTTGGTCACGGTTTCCATGTTACTCATCAATGGGGTTATTTTCTTTATTCGTTTATTTTCTTTCAATTTTTCCCCAGGCTGCCTTTCCACCCAGCTTAGAGTCCCCAAGGGGGCAAACAGCCAAAAAGATAAAAACAACTTCAAAAAGTATATACAGAACAAATTAAAACAAGTAAGCCAAACAAATAAATGGGAAGGAGCATCAGTCAGGGAAGAAGTGCCGGGCATAAAAGTCGCCACCCACGGGCAGAAGATAATGATAGAGGGGGCAGGCTGCTCTCCCTGGGGCGAGAACTGCATATTTGGGGGCCATGACAGAGAAGGCCCTTTCTTGGATTGCCACCCCTCTAGCTTCAGGTGGTGGTGGAGGAACCCAAAGGAGGTCCCCTGAAGATGACCTCAGTGGTTGGGTGCCTTCATATGGAAGGAGATGGTCCTGAAGGTATGCCAGCCTCAAGCCATGCAGTGCTTCAAAGGTCGACACCCGTACCTTGAATTAGGCCCCCAATTAAGTAGGAGCCAAGGTAGGTGGAACAAGACTGGAGAGATATGGGCCCTATGACCCACTCTAGTCAGCCCTCTGGCCACTGCATTCTGTACCAATAGCGGCTTCTAGACACTCTTCAAGGGCAGCCCTAAGGGGAGTGCCTTGCAGTAGTCTAACCTAGATGTTACCGAGACCTGCAGCACAGTGGCAGGATCTTTTCCCTCCCCCCAGAAAACGCTGCAAGTGGCTCATCAGGTGAAGTTGGTGGAAGGTGTCTGCCACCTGCTATTCCAACGGGAGACCCGGGTTCAGCAGCACCCCCAGTTTACAAACCTGTTCCTTTAGGGGGGAGCGCGACTCCATCTGGAACAGGAGACATCTCAGCTCGTGGGTCAGCCCTTCTGCCTGCCAGTAGCACCTCCGTTTGACTGAGATGACGTTTCAGCTTATTTGCTCTCACCCATCCCAAAAATGCCTCTGGGCGCTGGTTCACTGTCTGTTTCTCCTTTAGACAACTTCCCTGCAGGGGCCCAGTTGCAGAGGTTTGCTTGAAGGTTTATGGAAACTCAGTTGCTTTTTTTGGGTAAAATCCCCTTGGCCGGCGTTTCCATCGTGATCAACCCAAGAGGCAGAAGAACCAACTGGCTTAATTCTGGTGGCCTCGATGCACCATGTCCTGGTACCCTCATGGGGCTATGTAGATACTTCATGAAGACACAGGAGTGCCCTCTAATTCCACCAGGCCACTGGGCTGGCCGTGAACACACAAATACACAGCTGGACTCTTCAGGATGGATCCCATGGATCTGTTCCACCAAGAGCAAGACACTTCATTTGCCAGAGGAAAGTGCCACATTATAAATGGATCTTTGGTAGTTCAGTGTCCTGGCCCCACTGGTGGACCTCCTGATGGCACCTGGTATTTCTGGCCACTGTGTGACACAGAGTGTTGGACCGGATGGGCCTTTGGCCTGATCCAATACTGGCATCTCTTATGTTCTTATGTTAAAAGTTAGTAGCACAAAAATGATTGAGGTTGGGTTTCTCCTGACAATTCAGATATTGGGGCACCCTTGGGGTATAGATATAATGCCCTCCCCCTAAAGTTCAATAATAAACTTGAGTGGCCACCTCCAGAATCTTGTCATATCAACCTGTCCAACGAAAGCACTTCTTTGCAAAAACATGGCTTCAGATTCAGATGTTTATATTAAATCCCTGGTTTGAGAGTCCATTGAAGTGTGTGTGTGGGGGAGGATGATTCCTTTCTGTCGAAGCTTTGCTTCTGAATGTAACAAAATATCCTCCTTTTATTTACCACAGGTTGTTTTTGTGGGCATGATGTCCAGTTCCACCCTCTGGGGAAATATCTCAGACCAGTATGGAAGAAAAACAGTAAGTCTCTGGGATTCCCTGGAAACCTTGCTAGCCAGATGCCTTCGGATTGGCAGGCCCTCGTGGCCAAGGGAAGGGTCTTAGATCAGGGAGACTTTAAAAAACACACACCTTTTTATTGCAATATTAAACAGTATTACAGAATATCAAAATCAGTGCAACTAGTATGTATACAAAAAGTAGACTTTGTAAAGAACAGAGTGTCCAACTATGTCAGTGTTACAAGAGAGTACGGCCTTTTGGAACATATTACAACACCAGTTAGTAGCTAGCAATAAAGCTCTGCATACCATATTATAACATAACCTAACATACAATCGTGAAATCATCAGTTTGGAAATGTCTCCATTTGTCATTCTGGAGATGGAATTAAAATGTCTTAGGATCATGTTTTTAAAAGTAAATCAGTGGTCTGTATAAAGAGTTTACTGGAATTATGTCAGCCTCTGCCATATATTTGATGAGTGGGTACCAACTTGCTGTGGATTTTTCTCTGAGTTTGCATAAGGTAAAGTTGAGTGCATTAAGTGATATTTTGCACATGATGAAATGGTCCCGTATGTGGTTTTGCTCGGATTGGACCATCGGGGGAGACTTATTAATCCAATTTGCAGCTATGGTGTTCCTAGCTACAGCCAGTAAAGTGTGAATGAGTTCTGTTCTGTGTTTGTTTCTGTGGGGATCTGTCCAATTATTCAGGAGTAGTATTTCAGGCAAGAGAGGAAGATGTACATTTGTGATCAAACATATATGGTGGGTTATTTGAGACCAGAATTGTTGTATGTGTCAGCATGTCCACCAGCAGTGGAGAAAGTCTGCTATCTGTCCACAGGTTTTTTTCTGCAGAAGGGATCTGTGTCTTTCTTAATATGGTGTAGGGGTGCAGGTGGCAGGTACCAACCAGTGTTCTCTCTAAGCTGAGTTAGTGTGAGCTAGCTCACAGTTTTTTAGCCTCCAGCTCACATATTTTTGTCTGAGCTCAGGAAGGAGGGCTCCAGAGCAAACTAATTTATGCAGGAGCCAAATCGCTCGCTCACAACTTTAATGCCAGTAGCTCACAAAGTAGAATTTTTGCTCACAGGACCCTACAGCTTAGAGGGAACATTGGAACTTGTTAGAATTTTGAAGTTTTGGGATCTTATGTTGAAAATTGCAGAGGAGAGGTTAGGGGAAGCCCATACACATTCCCAGGCGTCTTCCGTTAGCCAATTCCCACAGTCCTTAAGCCACAATTTGAGACATTTTAAGGATTGTTTGTCATCCAAGGTATTCAAGAGTTTATAGATTTTGGACACTAGGCCTGTTGGATGGGTCGCCATGTTCTTTAGAAGCTGTTCAAAACGCGTCCAGGGCCTTTTCAGAGTTTCCATGAGTTGAGGAGACTCTATCATATGTTTGATTTGTAGATATTGAAACCACATTATCCGTCCCCCCAGTTTTTGTTCTAATTGTGTTTTCTCCAGGAGTTTATTGTTTTGCATCATGTGTAATTCCAGCAATGCGCCAGGAGTTGTATAGAGATTGTCACATACAGGCTGGAATCAGGGTTGATTCAAAAATGATAATGGTATGGAGATTGAGGGAGCTAATCTATCTTTGTATTTGTACCGGATTTTGAAGGAGGCTTTCAAGTATCTGTTTTCCTGCCGGATTAGCGGTTTAGATAAAATCGGATTCCAGAATGTATCAAGGAGGGTGCATGGGAGTAAATAATGACCTTGGATCTGCACCCATTCAAGTTGGGGTAGGAAGAGTGCCCGAAGTGTAGCAGCTTCGTAGTGACTGCTGAGGCTGGGTGGATCTAAACCAGATCAGGGAGACTTGGATTCCCAACTTTGTCATCCACTCACTGGGTCTTCTCTCTAGAAGACAGGTTCACATGAGCCACCTGAAGCATTTGTCTCTCGCAACTGGTGTGCGCATGACAAGAAAAGAACAGCAGTTCTCAGTGCACAAGTATCAGGTTTCTGACATGCGGGAAACAAAGAATAATAGAATCGGAGAATCATCGAGCTGGAAGGGACCTCCAGGGTCATCTAGCCCAACCCCCTTCCGACTCTGTGATTCTATGATTATCACCTGGTGCTCCAAAAAAGAAGGGGGGTGGGTTAAGGGACACTGCTTTGCATGCTTTCTCTCTCTCTCTCTCTCCCCCTAAGGGCTTTCTCTCCTATCTTTGTTCTCTGCAGGGGTTGAAGATCAGTGTGCTGTGGACCTTATATTATGGGATCCTCAGTGGATTTGCACCCATTTACAACTGGATCTTGGTGCTGAGGGGCTTGGTGGGCTTTGGCATCGGAGGAGTGCCTCAGTCGTAAGTAAACTCCCCCGTCGCTCTTCTGCACTCCCGTCGCTCTTCCCTCTCCTGCAAAGCTGAGCAGCTCCCCATAAGGCCGGAAGGAGGCCATAAGAAGAGCTCTGGCGGATCAGACTGGCTGTCCCTCTGGAGGGCCGACAACAGGGCACAAAGGCTGAGGCCTTCCCTCGATGTCATCGCCTACTGGCACCGAGACTCAGAGGTGTTACTGCTTCCGAATGCGGAGGTTCCCTTTAGTCCCCACTTTCCTGTGCTAAAGGTAAAGGTCAAGGTTTCCCTTGCCCGAAAGCCAGTCGAGTCCGACTCTAGGGTTGCGGTGCTCATCTCCATTTCAAAGCCGAAGAGCCAGCGCTGTCCGAAGACGTTTCCGTGGTCATGTGGCCGGCATGACTAAACACCAAGGCGCATGGAACGCTGTTCCCTTCCCACCGAAGTGGTACCTATTTATCTACTTGCAATTTCTTGCTTTCGAACTGCTAGGTTGGCAGGAGCTGGAACTAGAGACGGGAGCTCACTCCGTCATGCGGCACACTCGGGTCTCGAACTGCTGAACTACCGACCTTCCACAGCCTGCAGTTCAGCGTCTTAACCACTTGAGCCACCGCAGCTCCTTTCCTGTGCTACTTAAGAACTATTTCCCAGCACCTAGGTCAGGGCCGCTGTCATCCGTGCAAGGTACAGAGGCCTTTCCCCTCCTCCAGAGCAATGCTGCCTCTAAGCAGTAGAATGTGACAGAGTGTTGGACTAGATGGGCCATTGGCTTCTCTCGTGTTCTTACGTTCTAGTCTGAGAGCCAGTTTGGTGTAGTGATTAAGTGTGCGGACTCTAATTTGGGAGAACCGGGTTTGATTCCCCACTCCTCCACTTGCACCTGCTGATGTGACCTTGGGTCAGTCACAAGCTCTGGCACAGCTGTCCTTGAAAAAGAGCAGTTTCTGTCAGAGCTCTCTCAGCCCCACCCACCTCACAGGGAGTCTGTTGTGGGGAGGGGAAGGGAAAGGAGTTTGTAAGCCGCTCTGAGACTCCGAGTGAAGGGCGGGGTATAAATCCAATCTCTTCTTCTTCTTCTTCTTGTGAGCAAAAATTCTACTTTGTGAGCTACTGTCATTAAAGTTGTGAGTGAGCGGTTTGGCTGCTGCATCAATTAGTTTGCTCTGGAGTCTTCCTTCCTGAGCTAAAACAAAAATGTGTACGCCAGAGGCTAAAGGACTGTGAGCTGGCTCACACTGACTCAGCTTAGAGGGAACACTGCTCCAGAGTAGTGCTGGGTCAGGCGGCCTTTTGCTGCTGATCTCAATCCGGACTCAGGGCTGAGTTCAGTGGTGGTTGCGTGGACGCATGTGGGTTAGAACCAGTGTTCCCTCTAAGCTGAGTTAGTGTGAGCTAGCTCACAGTTTTTTAGCCTCCGGCTCGCCCATTTTTGTCTTAGCTCAGGAAGGGATGGCTCCAGAGCAAACTAACATATGCAGTAGCCAAATTGCTCGCCAGGAGCTCAGAAAGTAGAATTTTTGCTCACAAGACTCCACAGCTTAGAGGGAACATTGGTTAGAACCCTGCCATCTTTCCCCTCACCTCCTCTGAAACGAAATCTGTAGCTCAGATACCATTTCCCCCCCCTGGCAGTTCAGGCTTTTCGGGGTTACTTTAACTACCCTGCAAAGGAACTCAGCTGACTTCAGGAAGGTTAGTTTTTCCACAGTCAACCTTAACAGCACGGATCAGAACATCCCTGGGATGTCAAACAGAACCAGAATGGAAGTCAAGACCAATTTTGTCCAGATCACAGGAGGTGGTAGTTCCGCTATATTCTGCTATGGGCAGGCCTCACCTGGAGTACTGCATCCAGTTTTAGGCACCACATTTTAGGAAGGATGTTGACAAGCTTGAGTGTGTCCAGAAGAGAGCAACCAGGATGGTGGGAGGGTTGGAATCCAAGTCTTATGAGGAAAGGCTGAAAGAGTTGGGTTTGTTTAGCCTGGGAAAGAGAAGGCTTAGAGGGGACATGATTGCAGTCTTCCAGTATCTGAAGGGCTGTCATGTAGAAGATGGAGCAGATCAATTCTCTCTTGCTCCAGATTGCAAGACTAGGTCTAATGGGTGGGAATGACAAGGGAGTCGATACCGGCTGAATATCAGGAGTAACTTCCTAACTGTCAGAGTGGTTGAGCAGTGGAGCAGACTGCCTCGGGAGGTGGTGGATGCTCCTTCGCTGGACGTTTCCAAGCGAAGGCTGGACAACCATCTTTCGGGTATCCTGTAGGGCCATCTTTCGGCTCTGCTCCTGCGGAGTGCAGGGGGCTGGACTAGATGACCTGCAAGGTTCCTTCCAACTCTAACATTCTATGATTCTGTGATTCAATCTCCAAAGTTCAAAGAAGGAAAATCAGCTCTAAAATAAGTGGTTAACTAGTGGAAAGGGAAGGGCTTGGTAGACACAAAAGCTGCACCCATCTAGCACGCACGCCCCCCCCCCCTTTATTTCTGTTCTGGTCAGCATAAGCATTCTGCCTCCACCCCCTCCTCGATTAAGCTTATTAAACATTGATGTTCTGGGTCCGCAGTGAGGCTATTCCAATGCAATTTGAGCCTGCCCAGAATCTGTGGCTAATGGGTTTGGATTAAAAAAAAAAATCATTATCCACTGGCCACTCATGTTTTTCCTAGAGCTGTTCCCAGGGAAATGGAGGCGAAGCTTTCAGGGCTGCTACACAGCTGAGATGGATTCCCCTCTTCTCCACACACTCAACAGGGAATTCCACCAGTCTGCTACCAGCCAGCCTGGACTGGATATAACCTCTCGACATGTATGGGCTTATCGATCGCTACTGACTGCATCGTGTTCACCTTGATGGATTGAGTCATGTGGGGTCTCTCTGTTCCCTGAAAATGTTCCTCAGCCATTCATGTTTATCTTGTAAAAACAGTTCCAGGGGGCAGCTATGTTGAGCAGCTCGATTTGAGCCCCAGAAGCGCCTTAGAGACCCACAAGTTTTAGGGTGTGAGCTTTTAAGGGCCAAAGGCAATGCTCCCTCGAAACTGTGGAGTCCTGTGAGCAACAATCCTACTTTGTGAGCTCCTGGCATTGAAGTGGTGAGCGAGCGATTTGGCTGCTGCATAAATTAGTTTGCTCTGGAGCCACATCCTTCCTGAGCCAAGACAAAAATGTGTGAGCCGGAGGCTAAGCGACTGTGAGCTAGCTCCCACAAACTCAGCTTAGAGGGAACATTGGTCAAAGCTCCCTTCGTCAGTCCGATATTGCTTGATTTCCCCCTCCTCCTTCAATGTGTTCCTCTGTGTTCTTGTTCTCTTCAGGGTGACTTTATACGCAGAATTCCTTCCGATGAAAGCCAGAGCAAAATGCATTCTGCTTATCGAGGTAGGTGGCCTTTGGTCAACCTAGAAAGCGCCCCCTGGTGGTTCCAACATTCAGGTCGTGATCAGATGCTTATTTTGGGTGGGTGCCCTGACTGGGGCAGCGCAGGGGTGGATTGGCCATTAAAGCCAGTTTGACGTAGTGGCTAAGTGCGCAGACTCTAATCTGGGAGAACCGGGTTTGATTCCCCACTTTTCCACTTGCACCTGCTGGATGACCTTGGGCAAGCCACAGTTCTGTCAGAGCTGTCCTTGAAAAAGAGCAGTTTCTGTCAGAGTTCTCTCATCCCCACCGATCTCACAGGGTGTCTGTTGTGGGGAGAGGAAGGGAAAGGAGTTTGTAAGCTGCTCTGAGACTCCAAGTGAAGGGCGGGGGATAAATCCCATCTCTTCTTCTTTCTTCTCCTCCTCCTCTTCGTCTTCTTCTTCCTCCTCCTCCTCCTCTTCTTCTTCTGCCACTGGGAAAACGTCTAGTGGGCTGATGGCTTGGGAAGCCACCTCCCCTTGCCCAGGGTTGCCCTGGCCCCAAGCAAGGTGGCATTCACCTTACACAGGGTGGCCCTGCACCAGATGGGCAGGAGTTCTTGCCAAGAGCCACAGCCCCGGCCTCAGATGAGACGGCTGGGCAAAAGCTGACAGCCTTCAGCCTGTGTGGGGCAGGTGCCTCCCTCTGCCTTTATCGGGGGGGGGGGGAGGCTGCAGATGGGGCCCTTTTCCAAGTCCATTTTTATTTTTTACCTTTTTATTTATTGGATTTATACCCCGCCCTCCCCGCCAACGCAGGCTCAGGGCGGCTTTCGTAAAAGCATTAAAACAGTTTAAAACACACAAAATCTAAAGTGCAACGCATATATTTCCTATGTGACAGCAGTCATAATCCCATATTTTCTTAGCAGGAGTCAGTTAGTACAGACTTAGGTGATACAAACAACCCCAGGGAGGCTCCAACTTGTCCAGATGTTAAGTGTGGTTGAATGCCTGGCGGAAGAGCTCCGTCTCGCAGGTCCTACGGAATTAAAATAAACTCTGCAGGGCCCCGGTGTCCTCAGGGAGCTCGTTCCACCAGCGTGGTGCTGCCCCTGAAAAGGCCCTGGCCCTCGTCACAGCCAGCCTGGCTTCTCTAAGGCCTGGGACGGCCAGACGGTTTTGGGACCCTGATTGTAGTGCTCTCTGGGGAACATGTGGGGAAATGCAGTCCTTCAGTTATGCAGGCCCCTGACCGTATAGGGCTTTATAGGTAAGCACCAGCACCTTGAAGCGAATTCAATATGCTATAGGCAGCCAGTGCAATGCCTTCAGCGCAGGCGGGATGTGTCCTCGTGGCGCCCTGCAGCCCCTGCACCAGCTGCAGCTTCCGCATTTGGGACAAGGGCACCCCCATGCAGAGAGCATTGCAGTAGTCTAATCCTCCCTGGGGTAGCACAAGGCTGAATTCCCACGTGCCACTTCCCTTTATATGCTCCCACTATGGGTGAATGTTTGTGAACAGAGACAGACTGGGACGTTAAAGCAACCTTGGAACCAGCTGAACCAAACAGCCCCTGCAGTGACCCACGGATCCTCCCTGGGGCCCAAATGTGAGTCAAGCAGCCCCTGGGCCGCTCCTGGCTGCACAGGGGTCGCTTGGTCCAGCTTTGCCCTTGGCTACTAGAGGCCCTCCAAGGCAGCAGTCCACCAGGAACTTTCTCAGTGGGTCAAAGAGCCAGTCCACCCCCTGTGTTTTCACTGTGCCTGTTCAATTGAACTTGAATTATGGGCACTGTAGTGTATTCAAAGCTGCCTTGAATGCACGATAGGTTGTGAAACATCTAATTGAAGTGTAATGTAAAGCTTCTCCTGGGCTAGGATCCAAATCCATCCAATCGTGTTACTAGCCCAGGAAGCACCTAACCAATCACTTTCAAACAAGCTCCCTGAGCGGGAACATCCGTGATTGGTTCGTATGCGAACAACCTTATTGGTTGGTATTTGTACAGTGGGTGTGGCTACATTAGCCGGGAAAGTTTAAAAGCAGGACAGCTGCAATGTAAAGGCTGTTCTGGCTTTCGGATGTTGATCCGTGTTGGAGTTGTGTTCGAGTTGAAGAATGAAGTTGTGTTTTTGCTGAATCACTCTCCGACTGCTTTGTTAAGTGAACGGCTAACAGGCACACTCCAGCTTTCTTGTGCTTTCCTTGGATGTGAGATCGGGGTCCCAACTGGGCCTCATCACATGACCATCGGAGTCGGTGAATTCCAGTTATTCAAACAAAACAAATCCAGTTCCGGGGGCCATAAGGTGTGAAGCGACAGACTGGTCACTCCTGTCTCGCAGAGTGCGGAAGGCCCAAGATTCAGATGTTCAGAGGAGAGGTTGATTTTTATTTCACTTGCTCCAACAAACAACCTGTCTCTCTTTCCTCTGAGAGCCAGTCTGGTGTAGCGGTTAAGCGCTCGGACTCTAATCTGGGAGCGCCGGGTTTGATTCCCCACTCCTCCACTCACAGCTGCTGGATGACCTTGGGCAAGCCGTAGTTCTGATAAGAGCTGTTCTTGAAAAAGAGCAGTTTCTGTCAGAGCTCTCTCAGCCCCACCTACCTCACAGGGTGTCTGTTGTGGGGAGGGGGAGGGAGAGGAGTTTGAAAGCCGCTCTGAGACTCCCTTGGGTAGTGAAGGGTGGGGTAAAAATCCAATCTCCTCCTCTTCTTCTTCTTCTTCTTCCTCCTTCACCGGCAGGTCTTCTGGGCCATCGGGTCAGTCTTTGAGGTCCTCCTGGCCGTGTTTGTGATGCCCACCCTGGGCTGGCGCTGGCTGCTGATTCTCTCGGCCCTCCCTCTGCTGTTGTTTGCCATCTTGTGTTTCGTAGGTATTCTCTCGCTGGGAAGGAAACTGGTTTGCATTAGTCACATCTGCATAGTGTTGTTTGGTGTCGTGGTGAAGTGTGTGTGCTCTAATCTGGGAGAACCGGGTTTGATTCCCCGCGCCTCCACTCGCAGCTGCTGGATGACCTTGGGCAAGCCGTAGTTCTGTCAGAGCCGTTCTTGAAAAAGAGCAGTTTCTGTCAGAGCTCTCTCAGCCCCACCGACCTCCCAGGGCATCTGTCTGTTGTGGGGAGGGGAAGGGAGAGGAGTTTGTCAGCCGCTCTGAGACTCCTCTGGGTAGTAAAGGGCGGGGTATAAATCCAATCTCCTCCTCATCCTCATCCTCTTCTTCTCCTTCTCCTCCTACTCTCCTCCTCCTCCTTCTCCTTCTCCTCCTCCACCTCTTCCTCCTTCTCCTTCTCCTCCTTCTTCTCCTCCACCTCTTCCTCCTTCTCTTCCTCTGCCTCCTTCTCCTCCTCCTCCTTCTTCTCCTTCTCCTCTTCTTCTCCTCCTTCTCCTCCTTCTCCTCCTCCTCCTCCTCCTCCTCCTCCTCCTCCTTTTCTTCCTCCTCCTTCTTCTTGTTTGTTTGTTTGTTTGTTTTGACCTTTGTCCATGGACTTCCTTCCCTCCCCTCAGTGGCTGCCGGAAAGCGCAAGGTACGATGTCCTGTCGGGGAACCAGGAAAAGGCCATCGCCACGCTGAAGAGGATCGCCAGTGAGAACGGGGCTCCAATGCCTCTCGGCAAACTGATCATCTCCCGGCAGGTGGGTATGGGAAGAGGGCACTCAGCAAAGCCCCAGTTTGTTTCAGTGGACCCATCTGGACCTCAGAGACAGGGCCCAACCCTGGACACTGTTACTTATTTTTATGGACTTATATCTCGCCCCTCCCCTGGGTCACAGGGCTTGGAGGCAGCTCACAACATTCAACAAAAAAATCTATAAATAGAGAAGAAGAAGAAGAGATGGGATTTGTACAATGCCCTTACTTAAAGGTAAAGGGTAAAGGTTTCCCCTTGCTCCAAAGGCAGTCGAATCTGACTCTAGTGGCAGTGCTCATCTCCGTTTCCAAGCCGAAGAGCCAGCACTGTCCAAAGACGTTTCTGTGGTCATGTGGCCACCATGACTAGATGCCGAGGCTCACGGAACGCTGTTACCTTTCCACCGAAGTAGTACCTGTTTATCTACTTGCAATGTCTTGCTTTCGAACTGCTAGGTTGGCAGGAGCTGGAACTAGAGACGGGAGCTCACTCCGTCACACGGCACTCGGGTCTCGAACTGCTGAACGACCAACCTTCCGGTCTGCAGTTCAGTGTCGTAACCACTTGAGCCACCACGGCCCCTAAAATGTACTTACAAGACATTAAATTGCAATCTGTAAAACAACACCCTAGCTCAGGCATCAGAGTAAAACATGATCATTTGGCACCCAACAACCAACACCTCAGGTTGCTATCAAAAACCAGGATGCACTGCTAATAAGAGCTGCGGTGGCTCAAGTGGTTAAGACGCTGAACTGCAGGCTGTGGAAGGTCAGTAGTTCAGCAGTTCGAGACCCGGGTGCCGCAAGACGGAGTGAGCTCCCGTCTCTAGTTCCAGCTCCTGCCAGCCTAGCCGTTCGAAAGCAAGAAATTGCAAGTAGATAAATAGGTACCACTTCAGTGGGAAGGTAACAGCGTTCCGTGCGCCTTGGTGTTTAGTCATGCCGGCCACATGACCACGGAAACGTCTTCGGACAGCGCTGGCTCTTCGGCTTGGAAACGGAGATGAGCACCGCAACCCTAGAGTTGGACTCGACTGGCTTTCGAGCAAGGGAACCTTTACCTTTACTTATTGCTAATAAGCGGAAGAAAACTGGCCTCGACCATCCTCAGTGGAAAGCTCAGCAGAACATCTCAGTCTCACGGGCCCTAAGGAATCTAGACAGATCCTGCAGAGACCAGATGTCATCTGGCAGAGAGGCCCACCAGGCAGGGGCCGCTGTAGAGAAAGCTCTTGCCTTTGTTCAGGATAGTCGAGCTGCCTGTGGGACCGGCACCACCAGGAGACCACGTGAAAAAGAACGAAGCATTCTTAGGGAGAAACGATCCCCATGGGTACGAAGGTCCCAGACCATTTAGGGCTTTAAAGTTGCTAAGTCAAGCAAAAACGCGAAGTCAAGAAGGGCCTTGGAAGGATGTTCGGCTAACCCTTAGGAAGAACTTTCTGATGGTTAGAGCAGTTCCTCATTGGAACAGGCTTCCTCGGGTGGTGGCGGGCTCTCCTTCTTTGGATGTGTTCAAACAGAGGCTAGATGGCCCCATCTGACAGCAATGCTGATTGTGTGAACTTGGGCAGATCATGAGAGGGAGGGCAGGACTTAGTTCCCATGGCCCTTTTTTACATGCCCAGGGAAATGCCAATCGCCACGTTGGGGTCAGGAAGCAATTTTTCTCCAGGCCAGGTTGGCCGGGGATTCTGGAGGGTTTTGTCATCTTCTGGGCATAGAGCAGGGGTCACTGGGTGTGTAGAGGGGGAAGTATTTCCTTTCATTTATTGGCTTCATTAACCAGGGGTCAGGGGAAAGTATTTGTGAATTTCCTGCCTTGTGCGGGGGGTTGGACTACATGACTAGGTCCCACTGCTGGCCCCACAGGTGGACCTCCTGATGGCACCTGGTATTTTTGGCCACTGTGTGACAGAGTGTTGGACTAGATGGGCCATTGGCCTGATCCAACAGTGGCTTCTCTTATGGTCTCATGTCCCTTCCAACTCTATGATTCTATGATGTGATATCAGCAGTCTCTCTTCCTCTGGCCATCAGTTGCGGACAATCTCTGGCATTCAAACTGTTGTTGTTTCCACACAGGAAGACCGAGGGAAAATGAGGGACCTCTTCACCCCCCAATTTAGATGGACCACACTTCTGCTTTGGTTTATATGGTGAGCGTGTGAATGCCTCTGTGAGCTTGTGCAATCCTTCGCTGACTCTTTCGTGGCTGCTCGCTTTACGCAGGTGTATTTAAAACTCCCCCAACCATTCTGGAAATCAGAGCTCGCGGGCCAGAGGCAAGAGGGTGGTTTGCTAAGCGGACAAGCAGAGAGAGGGAGAGAGAGTCCACAAGCAGCCCAGTCTATACCTGAGAAATCAGTCACCTGCACAGACTGAGTTGCTGGCAGTGTAATAGAGTCAGACAGGGCCCTGCTGGTTCCTTGGGTCACCTGATCTCTGTGGCACTGATACTGCAGGGCCAACCCCTGGTCCACCCACAAGGGCAGTGCTGTGGTGCCACAGAGAATCAGGCAGGGACAGAAAGGGCAAAAACCTGAACCTTAACATTAAAATTCAGGACCTAACAAAGGTTAGTAAAATGTGAAAAAGAGGGCCAATATTAAAAACTAAATGTAGAAAATATATAGAACAAGATACATGTATTTATTAATTACAAATTTTAAAACATATATAAGGGCCCATTCTTATCAAGTATATAAGTGACATGGCAATACACACGGGCTTAAAAACCTGACCTGACGTGTTTCGGCCTGCATAGGCCTTCCTCAGAGGTCAAACAATTGAGTGGCAAGATGGCTATATAAATATAATACAATCATGTAGACACAATCAGGATGGATACAAAACATAAATTCAATATGGACCAGAAAACCAGTTGTTCCAGAATAAAACCACCAGGCACAGAATAAATATGCCAATGAGATCTTTCAAAGTGCAATCACTTGCCCACTGGTTCTAAAGTATAGATTTTTGGTCCAAGAATTGCCTCCTTTGATTGTGTTGCCACAGTGTTCTCAAGTAAAAAGCAGCCATGACAGCACAAGGAATGAGATGCCAGGGTTTGGAGCCAGTGTTCCCTCTAAGCTGAGTGAGTGTGAGCCAGCTCACAGTTTTCTAGCCTCCAGCTCACAGATTTTTGTCTCCGCTCAGGAAGGATGGCTCCAGAGCAAGCTAATTTATGTAGTACCCAAATTGCTCGCTCACAACTTGAATGCCAGGAGCTGACAAAGTGCAATTTTTGCTCACAAGACTCCAGAGCTTAGAGGGAGCGCTGGTTTGGAGAGCAAGGAAAGGGGAGGCCTTCAGCCATCCAGGCAGGAAAAGAGAGCAATGGGGGGGGGGGTACCCACGTGCAAGAGTCCCCATGCATCAGTGTTAAGAAGGTAATTTGGGAAGTGCAGCTGATTGTATTCCGGTGTGGCTGATGTGAGGGAAAGCTACACCTGTTGGATTCTCCTCTTCTGTGCTTTCATGAATGGCACCAAGCCCTGCTGCCTTCTGCTGATTTCCCTGTGAGTTTTTTTTAAATGCTGGCATTAACTGTGTCCTCAGTGTTCCCTCTAAGCTGAGTTAGTGTGAGCTAGCTCACAGTTTTTTAGCCTCCAGCTCACAGATTTTTGTCTTAGCTCAGGAAGGATGGCTCCAGAGCAAGCTAATTTATGCAGTAGCCAAATTGCTCACTCACAACTTTAATGCCGGTAGCTCACAAGGTAGAATTTTTGCTCACAGGACTCCACAGCTTAAAGGGAACATTGGTCCTCACTGCCTCCTTCATGCGGGTATATTTAAATCTTCCCCCAGATATTCTGGGAAACAGCCTGACCATATTGTTGCAAGCTTATGACCCTTCCAGTAAGCCTGGATTGGACCAAATCAGTCCCTTTCCTCAGTTAAATAAAGGACCACACCAGCGATGGACCTCTCCGCCCAGATTCCTTTAAATTCTGGCTGCGATCATACGTACAATTAGACCTGACATAGGTGCTCATGCTGGGCGGAATTAAAGGGTGTGATCAGACAACAACATCTGGGAAGCACCCTGCAGGCCTCCGCAACCTGTTCTGCTCCGCCGCAGAAGCGGAGTTGAAAGACACCGGGGGAAATCTGGTAGAAAATGGGTTGCAATGGGCCATGGACAGACTTTCCTGTGTCTGATCACTCCAGCGCACTCTCATGGCATTGGGAGGGTTTGATCAGGCCATCCTGACTCTGTGCCGTTGTTCCCCCCCCCCTTTCGCAGTATGCACATCATCGCAAACTCCAGGGCTATTTTTGGGCAGGAACACACAGGAATGGAGTTCCGGCTGGCTCCTGAGTTGGCCATGCCCAGCAGGAGTTCATTAGCATAATAGGCCACACCCAACAGCAGAAACTCATTAGGATTGGCTACATTAGGGTGTGTGTGGCCTAACATGCAAAGGAGTTCCTGCTCCAAAAAAGCCCTGGGTTTTGACAACAAACAAGGTAAACAGAATAAGAAGCAAAAGGTGGGTGTGGCTGGATGACCACACTTCTGGTAACATGGGGGTGCGGCCTAATATGCTAATGAGCTGTACTATCAGGGGTGTGGCCTAATATGTTAATGAGTTGCTGCTGTTGGGTATGGCTTATTATGCTAATGAGTTCCTGCTGGGCTTTTTCTACAAAAAGAGCCCTGGCCAAACTCCATAGGGAGCCCTGAGTGCGGAAGTGCGGTTCATCGATTCCCCCTTTAAGCGCATGGGAAACGAACGGCACCCAAAAAAGAGACTCACCCGCAGTTGGGTCTGATCACACACTGACGGGTTGCACCCGCAGCTTCGAAGGGAGGTGTGATCGTGCAGCTGCGGGTCAAACTCCTCCAGAGGAAATAGCCTCGCTCCCCCCCCCATTTTTTCTGGCGCGTGTGACCACACCCCTCTGTGTCCCTTCTTATGCGTCTGACCCTTTGAGACACTCTCATTGCTTTCCCCACAGGTTCTCCAATGCCTTTTCGTATTATGGATTAGTTTTATTAACTACAGAGCTCTTCCAAGCGGGAGACATCTGCAGCAGTGAGTATGGTCCGGTCCGGTCCGGTCTTGGGGTAGAAAACTGCAGGCATAACAGCCTTTAAGAGGACGCGTTTTATTTATTTGCTTGTTTATTTAAAATATATGCTCTACCCTTATTCAAAAGTTCGGCCTGGCTTCAAAACATGAGTAACGACAAAGGGATCAATTATATAAGGCACATTAAGAAGGTGCAGAATGCCCAGATTAAAAGCAATAACAAAGCAGTCACACCAGATCAGAGAAACCTCTAAAGAAAAGGACCGTTTGAAAGTGTCTCCTGGATGAGCCAGATCCAGCCCAGGGGCCGTATGATTGACACCTCTGGGTTAGACTTATTTGGCCTCTCGGCAGGCACCGAACTCTACTGTTCTCAGACTAGCAACTCACCAATGAGAATGAGATGAACATGCCAGGTCAAAAAAATGCAAAAGGATGATTGACAACCTGATTGTTAGATCGCACTAACAAAGGACTCTTAGAGTGATTCAGCAAGTGATTCAGCTTTATTGGAAGTAACGAACAAGCACTCAACTCAGTAAGAAACCAGAACAGAAAACAGTGGGAGCTTATGCTCCTTTTAAACATAACCGGGCTAATGTAGCCACGCCTATTTACATTTAACAACCAATGAGATTGCTTAGTTAAGGACCAATGGGAGTCTTTCCCTCCTAGGGAATGGTATCGTTCTGATTGGTCGCTGTTACGAAGCGGCCAATAGGAGGTTCGCTCAGAGGAGCCCTGGGCCTTAGCCCAGGAAGGGATGGCTCCGGAGCGAACTAATTTCTGCAGTAGCCAAATCGCTCCCTCACAACTTTAATGCCGGTAGCTCACAAAGTAGAATCTTTGCTCACAAGACTCCACAGCGTAGAGGGAGCATTGCTCACCAGCTGAACAAAACTGAAGACCCCTGTGGGTTAAGTGTTAGATCGCGCTAACAAAGGAACCGTAGAGTGATTCAGCAAGTGATTCAGCTTTATTTAGAAGTAACGAACAAGCACTAACTCAGTAAGAAACCAGAACAGAAAACAGTGGGAGCTTATGCTCCTTTTAAACATAACCGGGCTAATGTAGCCACGCCTATTTACAAATAACAACCAATGAGATTGCTAGAATAAAGACCAATGGGAGTCTTTCCCTCCTAGGGAATGGTATCGTTCTGATTGGTCGCTGTTACGAAGCGACCAATAGGAAGTTCGCTCAGAGGAGCCCTGGTCTGGCTCGAAGCTTAACATGGGAGTCCTATGAGGTGATTCATGTAATCATTTCAATACATTACAATTCCTCCCCCCTAAGTTAAGCCATCATCCCAATTGTTTTATTATTTACAAACATGCAATCAACCTTTGTACATCAGTTATTCCAACAGTATTTACACTCATAGTCCTTCAGATAAGTCGGCATTTGCCGCGAACGCTGGGACCTGCGGAGCGGTGCAGGCTCCATGGGCAGACAAGGTTGTGGGTCAGAGTGGGGTTCACTACAGCCTGGATCAGGCACAGACTCGACTGGGATTTCAGCCCCGCACACAGGGTTCTGCCCTGACTCGGGGACAGTACCGGGCCTTTCGGTACTCACCGCCTGCTCTGGGGGTGTCCACTCGACATCAGGGGATTCAGCCGTCGGAGAGTCAGCGCTGTCCCTAGCCCAACGTCTCCTTAACTGATCTATGTGGCGCCGCCATATTCGACCGTCAGCTAACTGCACCACATACATTCGAGTACCCACAGAGTCGGATATAACCCCAGGAAGCCATAAGTGCCCGTTTGCATAATTTCGTGCGAAAACCTTGTCCCCTTTTTCAAACATGCGCACCTTCGGTTGCGCCGTGGTACGCTCGGATTGCTCTTCAGTGAGGTCTGGGTGCATTCGGTTCAAACGGGTCGTGAGTCTCCGCCCCATTAACAATTCGGCCGGACTACGGCCTGTAGCACTACAGGGGGTGGTGTGCTGCAGCAAAAGAAAGGAGCCCAGCCTCTGGCTCCAGTCCCCTTCGTCCATTTTACCCAGGGCCTCTTTGGCCGTCCTGACCATCCGTTCGGCTTGGCCATTAGATGCCGGATGGAAAGGGGCCGAAGTCATTTGGCGTATGCCATTACTCGTGAGGAAGAGCCTAAATTCCTCAGACACAAATTGAGGCCCGTTGTCACTGACGATGACGTCAGGCAACCCGTGGGTGGCAAAAAGTCGGCGGAGCGCATGGATCACAGCAAGTGATGTGGTCGATTTCATATGCACGACCTCCAGCCATTTGGACATAGCGTCCACCACAATTAGGAACATTTGCCCTTGGAGAGGGCCAGCAAAATCTATATGCAATCTGGCCCAGGGTTTACCAGATGACTCCCAGCCTTGGGGTGTAGCTTGTGGGGGATCGGGTCTGACTTGCTGGCATTTGGGACACCCTCGTACCCATTCTTCGATCTCTTTGTCCAGCCCCGGCCACCAGACATACCCTCTGGCCAACGCTTTGGTGTGTACCATACCGGGGTGACCCTCGTGCAGCGACTCTAACACTCTCGTCCTGAGTTTGTCAGGAACCACCACCCTGTTCCCCCATAATACACAGCCCTTAGAAATGGATAGTTCATTTTGACGGCTTTTGTAAGGGCCGAACTCCGGTTCAACGCTTCCAACCGGCCACCCCCTCCAAACCCAGTTTAATACTCGGGACAGCACGCTATCCTTGGCCGTGTGTGCTGCAATGTCCCTGGATGATACCGGGGGTCGAGGAAGCTCCTCAATTGCCAAGACCTCACAGGCGGGGGCAGGGTCTGCGCCAATGTCCGGCACCGGGCACCGGCTGAGGGCATCCGCATGCCCAATCGCTTTCCCAGGCCGGTGCTCTAAGTCAAAATCATAAGCCTGCAAAAATATCGCCCATCTAAGCATGCGTGGGGACATGATGTTTGGCAATTGCTTATCGGGCGCAAAAATCCCCAGTAGCGGCTTGTGGTCAGTGACCAGCAAAAATCGTCTGCCAAAAATAAAATCATGGAACTTTTTGACAGCCGCTACCAACGCCAGACCCTCCTTGTCTATCTGGGCATAGTTCCGCTCTGCCGCAGATAGTGATCTAGAATAAAAAGCGATAGGCGCTTCGCTCCCATCAGGCATCAGATGGCTTAAAACTGCGCCTACTCCAAAAGGTGAAGCGTCAGCAGCTAACACCAGGAGCTTGTGTTCATCATAATGCGTGAGTACGGCATTAGATGTCAGCAGCTCCTTGACTCCCACAAAAGCCTTTTCCTCGGCCTGCCCCCACTTCCATTTTGCCTCCTTGTGCAAAAGCGCGTGCAAAGGGGCCGCCACTGATGCCTTATGCGGTAAAAACGCATGATAAAAATTCAGGAGTCCTAAAAAGGATTGGAGCTCCTTCTTACTCACCGGCCTGGGGGCGTTTTGGATTGCAGATACCTTCTCATCCGTGGGGTGGACTCCCTCTGCGTCAATGCGAAACCCCAGGAAGTCCACACTTTCCACCCCGAGCGTGCATTTTGAGCGCTTAACTCTGAGACCGGCATTTTGAAAACGCCTGAGGACCTCTTTAACCCGGTCCAGTAGTTCCTGTTCAGACCCGCCCGCAATCAGCACGTCGTCAAAATAGGGCACTGTGCCAGGTACCCCCCTTAGTAGACGTTCCATGAGGCCCTGAAAAATCCCAGGTGCTACGTTGACCCCGAATTGCAGCCTGTTCACTTTAAAAGCCCCTTGGTGGGTTACAATTGTTTGGGCCTCGGCAGCCTCCGGGGTGACAGGCAACTGCTGGTATGCCTGGGCCAGGTCAAATTTGGCGAAAATCTTGCCACCCCCCAGGGAAGCCAAAATGTGGCTTATTACCGGGACCGGGTACGAATGTTGCTGCAGCGCCTTGTTAATCGTACATTTGTAATCGGCGCATAGTCGTATGGACCCATCTGATTTGACAGGGGTTACGATCGGGGTCTCCCATTTGCTGTATGGTACTGGCTCTAAAACCCCTTGCTCAACTAGTTTGTCAATCTCTTTTTCCACCTTATGTTTGAGAGACACAGGTACTTTCCGATACTTCAACCTAATAGGTTTGACTGACGGATCTAAGTCAAACGCAACCGGGGGGCCCTTGTACCTCCCCAACCCTTCGGCAAATACATCAGGGAACAGGTCGTACAGCATGCCCCATTTATTTTCAGACATCCTGTTAATCCCAGAAATACCAATGCCCAATGGCTCAAACCAATCTAACCCTAGCAGGTTAACCCGGTCTCCCTCTGCAATCAGGAATGACAGTTTAACACATTTCCCCTTATACTCAACAGTAACAGAGTCCCGTCCGGCCAAGGGAATTCGGTTGCCCTGGAAGTCGGACACTCTGGTTCCCGCAGGCTGGAGCCGCCGCCGGCTTCGGTTCGGGAACAACTGGCGCCAGGACGCGGCAGAAATCACCGTCACGGACGATCCTGAGTCCACCTCCATTGTACAGGGTCGGCCGTCGAGGAGTGGAGTCACGGTGATCTTGCCCTGGCTGCTGGTGCGATTTACGGCCGATGCGCTCGACAAGGTCGCCGTCAACTGGCAGCTTGCTTCCGATGCTGAGGAACGGGTCTTGCCTTGGGTGCTGACTGGAGTGCCCCTCTGCGCTGACCGGTTGTTAGTTGAGGGATCCTTCTTTGCTGATCTGCAGACTCTGGCCAGATGACCACGCCGCCCACACGCTCTGCAGTCGACATCACGAGCCCAACAGGAGTCGCGCTGGTGTTTCCCGCCACAACCGGAGCAAGGCTTGACGTTGGTAGTCTTCGCTGGGGTCCGCTTGCCTCGAACCGCGTTGACGTCATCATCCGCGTCTTCGCCCTCGCTGTCTCGTTGAGCGTGTATACTGGGCTCTGCCACCCGCTGGCGGACCTCCTTCGTGGACTTCTCCGCTGCTTCCGCGGCCATGGCCTCTTCGTAGGCCACTGCCCAGGTCAGGGTGGTGCGGGCGAACAGCCTCTGTTGCAGCCTTTCATCTTTGAGACCGCAGACGAGACGGTCTCTGAGGGCTTCCTCCACGTTGTGGAAATTACATGGTCGTGCGGCTTTGCGAAGGGCCGCCACGAAATCTGCGATGGTCTCGCCTCCGGCCTGGTTCCGCTTGTAAAAAGCGTGCCGGCAGGCGATCTCCGACGGCTGTGGAGAATAGTGAGCCTTAAGCTTCTCGGTGATGTCAGTGTAAGTGACAGTCTTTATATCAGTTGGGGCCACCAACGACCTGGCTATGTCGAAGGTCCCCTTCCCGCAGGAACTCAGGAGGCACGCCCGTTTCTTGGCCTCGTCTGTAATGTCGTGTGTCTCCAGATGGAACTCGAACCTGGATAGGTAGGAGTCCCAGTCTTCTGAGGAGGGTTCGAAGCACTCGAACTTCTGGCTTCCAGCCATCGTGGGAGACTTGGGCACCGGAGCTGGTGGCGCCTCCGCCGGATCGGCTGCTGTGCTCTGCTCGCTTTCTTCCGAGTCCGAAGTGTGGATGTCCGCAGGGCTGCCTACCTGCTCTAACATCCCATCCTCGTCGCCAATTGTTAGATCGCACTAACAAAGGACTCTTAGAGTGATTCAGCAAGTGATTCAGCTTTATTGGAAGTAACAAACAAGCACTCAACTCAGTAAGAAACCAGAACAGAAAACAGTGGGAGCTTATGCTCCTTTTAAACATAACCGGGCTAATGTAGCCACGCCTATTTACATTTAACAACCAATGAGATTGCTTAGTTAAGGACCAAAGGGAGTCTTTCCCTCCTAGGGAATGGTATCGTTCTGATTGGTCGCTGTTACGAAGCGGCCAATAGGAGGTTCGCTCAGAGGAGCCCTGGTATGGCTCGAAGCTTAACATGGGAGTCCTATGAGGTGATTCATGTAAACGTTTCAATACATTACACTGATACCTTCCTCTTCGTCTTATCCCATTATTCAAGTATCTAGCAGAAGGAAAGCTGTGAAGGCCAAATGCAGCCTGGGCTGTGAGTACCTGACGGAAAAGGACTACATCGATCTGCTGTGGACCACTCTGTCCGAGTTCCCAGGTAGGCCACTGGGAAAGGGGTGTCGTCCATTGTCATGGGTTGCTCCCGGAGGGTGCTTCCTCTTGGGGAAGCCACAGGAATTGAAGCAATTCATACTTAGCCCCAGGAGAATGGAAGCTGCAGCAGAAGTAGTTATTACTTTACTATATATATATATATATAGTTATTCCAGGGCTCTTTTTGTAGAAAAAGCCCAGCAGGAACTCATTAGCATAATAGGCCACAACCAACAGCAGGAACTCATTAGCATATTAGGCCACACCCCTGACAGCACAGCTCATTTGCCTATTAGGCCACACCCCCATGTTACCAGAAGTGTGGTCATCCAGCCACACCCACCTTTTGCTTCTTATTCTCTTTACCTTGTTTGTTGTCCAAACCCAGGGCCTTTTTGCATGTTAGGCCACAAACCCCTAATTGTAGCCAATCTGAATGAGTTTCTGCTGTTGGTGTGGCCTATTATGCTAATGAGTTCCTCCTGGGCGTGGCCAACTTGGAAGCCAGCCAGAACTCCGTTCCTGTGCGTTCCTGCCCAAAAATAGCCCTGGTTATTACTATAGCATACCGGATTTGGTTCAAGGTGCTGGTTCTTACCTTTAAAGCCCTATATGGTCAGGGGCCTATCCACCTAAGGGACTGCCTTTCCCCACATGTTTCCCAGAGAGCACTAGGATCGGGATCCCAAAATCGGTTGGCCCTTCCAGGCCCTAAAGAAGCCAGGCTAGTGGTGACAAGGGTCAGGGCCTTCTCTGTGGCGGCCCCGTACTGGTGGAATGAGCTCCTGGAGGACCTGCGGGACCTGTTACAGTTCCGCAGGGCCTGTAAAACGGAGCTCTTCCACCAGGTCTTCGACTAGGGTGCCGCCTAGGCCTGCCAAATCTCACCAAATCGCAGCGGGGGATCTGCATGTCTTTGCAGAATCCTTGCCGCGGGGACAGCGAGACGCATTGCACTGCCGTTGCCAGGACATGATGCTATGCGTCGCTCTGGCAACGGGGCTGTTTGGAGACGAATGTTTAGCCGAAAACGTTTCTGATTTAATTTCAACCCGTTGGTTCTGGTCCGACCTTCTTGGGCATCAGAAAACAGCTTTTCACCATCCTCTGTATGACAGCCCTTTAAGTCCTTGAAGATGGTTATCATATCACCTCTCAGTCATCTCCTCTCCAGCCTAAACATACCCAGCTCCCTCAACCTTTCCTTATAGGACTTGGTCTCCAGACCCCTCACCATCTTCGTTGCCCTCCTCTGGACACGTTCCAGCTTGTCTATATCCTTCTTAAATTGTGGTGCCCAAAACTGAACACAGTACTCCAAGTGAGACCTAACAGAGCAGAGTAAAGTGGTACCATCACTTCGCATGATCTGAACACTACACTTCTGTTGATAGAGCCCAAAATCGCATTTGCCTTTTTAGCAACTGCATCACACTGCTGACTCATGTTCAGTGCATGGTCTACTAAGACCCCTAGATCCTTTCCACACATACTACTGCCAAGACAAGTCTCCCCCAACCTATAATTATGCGTTTGATTTTTCCTACCTAAATGCAGAACTTTACATTTATCCCCACTGAAATTCATTTAATTTGTTTCAGCCCAGTTTTCCAGCCTGTCAAGATCATCCTGTATCCTGACTCCGTCTTCTACCGTATTTGCTACCCCTCCCAATTTAGTGTCATTTAATAAGCATTCCCTCTATTCTTCGATGCCCATGTTAGTTCTATGTGACTTAAAATCTAAGTTTCCCGGTGTGTTCGCCTGCAGGCAATTCTCCTTTGCCCCAGGAGACCAGGGCAGTGGCTATTCACAAGGCCACCGGTAGCAAAATGGAATCATCCAGTCTCTCTTTTCCTCCAGGTGTTCTGGTGACCTTATGGATCATTGACCGGATTGGACGGAAGAAAACCATGGCCCTCTCTTTCTTGGTCTTCTCACTTTGTAGCCTCCTGCTCTTTCTGTGTGTCGGCAGGTGAGAAATATGATTTGAAGAAATGGGAGGGGATGCAAAAAAGGCTGTGGGGGGCAGCTCTCCCCTCCCTTTCAAACATTGGGCGGCTGCAGCTTGGTGGTTCCCTAGGGGCTGATTCAAACATTACTGTCACCATGGTGAAGCTGCTGAAAATCGCTTTCATCTAGGGGGGGTCTAACATTTTGGAAGCTCTTTTCCAGTCCGTGCGGTTGGAGCTAATTGCACAGTGAGTCTCTCCACACTGGAGCCAGTGGCAAGCCTGTGTGGGTTTTTCTGCACATGTAAAAAACCGTTAAACAGCACAGGAGCCCAAGTATGTCAGAGGCGGGTAAGGTAAAGGTCAAGGTTTCCCTTGCTCGAAAGCCAGTTGAATCCGACTGTAGGGGGCGGTGCTCATCTCTGTTTCCAAGCCGAAGAGCCAGCGCTGTCCGAAGACGTTTCCGTGGTCATGTGGCCGGGTAACTGCCCTCAGATGGTGTCTGCCCAGGATGTGTTCTTTTCCATCCAGTTTGCTCATTCAAAGCAAAGAGACCCGTTTGGAGCAATGTATGAGGAAGATTCGACATGAACGTAACGAATTGCATGGGCCGCCCTAACAGGGCTCATCCCCTACTCTCGGCCGCCTCCTTTTGACCTCCAAGTCACTGTGGAGAAGGGGCAAGAGCAGGCCAGATGCATTCTCAGGTGGTCTGCGCACCAACATCCTTGTCAACCAATCTCGTCCTGTGTTTGTTACAGAAAAGTTCTTACCGTCCTACTGTTCATTGCAAGGGCTTTCATTTCCGGAGGATTCCAGGCCGCTTATGTTTACACCCCCGAGGTAAGGAGGCCCGTTGTTTTCTAAAGAGGGGGTGGCTGTCGGGTCCTTGCCTGCCCCGAGTCAGTGGTGGATATTGAGCGGCCCCAGACAAGAGCTTGGCGGGGGGGGGGCCTGTTAACTTAGAACAGTGGTGGCGAACCTACGGCACGGGTGCCAGAGGTGGCACTCAGAGCCCTCTCTGTGGGCACGCGTGCCATCGCCCCAGCCAGGCCCAGACCATCATTAAAGTGTCGAATTCTCTGCCAAATAATTTTAAGGAAATGCAGGGCTCTTTTTGTAGAAAAAGCCCAGCAGGAACTTATTAGCATAATAGGCCACACCCAACAGCAGAAACTCATTAGCATATTAGGCCACACCCCTGACAGCACAGCTCATTCGCCTATTAGGCCGCACCCCCATGTTACCAGAAGTGTGGTCATCCAGCCACACCCACCTTTGGCTTCTTATTCTGTTTACCTTGTTTGTCGTCAAAACCCAGGGCTTTTTTGTGTAGCAGGGACTCCTTTGCATGTTAGGCCACACACCCCTAATGAAGCCAATCCTAATGAGTTCCTGCTGTTGGGTGTGGCCTATTATGCTAATGAGTTCCTGCTGGGCGTGGCCAACTCGGGAGCCAGCCGGAACTCCGTTCCTGTGCGTTCCTGCCCAAAAATAGCCCTGAGTAAATGAAAGCATTTGGGATTGCTTTCCTTACTTTGTTTGGATCCTCTTAAGTTAATGTATCAGTGGTTTTTTCTAAAGTAAAACCTCAGTATCCAGGTTAAATTGCCGTGTTGGTACTTTGCGATCAATAAGTGTGTTTTGGGTCGCAGTTTGGGCACTCGGTCTCTAAAAGGTTCGCCATCACTGACCTAGAAGGAGCAGAGATGGGCAGGGCACATTCAGATGGAGAGTTGCTTGGGAATAGGGTTACCGGGTCCACACACACACACACACACCCCGGGCACTGGCAGGGGAAGGGTAGGATTACCAGATCCAGTTTAGGAAACTCCTGGAGATTTGGGGATGGAGCCTGGGGAGGACAGGGACCTCAGTGGGGTCCAACGCCACAGAGTCCGCCCTCCAAATGCATCCCTTTTCTCCAGGGGAGCTGATCTCTGTAGTGTGGAGATGAGCTGTGATTCCGGGGGGATCTCCAGGTCCCACCCCTAGTTGGGGAATTCCTGGAGATTTGGGGACAGAGCCTGTGAGGATGGGGTTTGGGGGCTCCAGGCCCCTCCTGGAGGTTGACAACGCCAAGGGTTGCCAACTTTGGGTTGGGAATTCCCTGGAGATTTGAAGGTGGACCCCTGGAGAGGGCAGGGTTTCATTGTGTTAGTGTTCTGTAGCAAAACCAAGAAAGAGTCCTTTGGCACCTCAATGGTTCCCCCCCCCCCCGCTCAATTTTTTAATTTATTTTATAACAACAAACATCAACATACACAAATAAGACGATACCAACACAAAATGGGAGAATCTCTCTGCCTTTTGAAAAAAATTGTTTGGTCATCCATACATCTCTCATTATTAAACTTATTTCTACGTCATACATTATTAACATAGCTTTGCCCACACAATCTTCAGTGTTCTTATTGCCCCCTGTTCACTTATATTCATGTTTCATTTGTTAAATTCTTCAAACATCTTTTGCCACATGAATTTTCGTGCACCACAGTCGACTTCATCCGATGCACTGTTAGTGGTGATTGGCAGGGACTTCCAGTGGAGAGTGCAAATTGTGTCGTCCCCCGATTGGTGGGAACTCTCCTTGGCCTCTTCTGTCTTGCCCCCAACCCTTCAAATGCACTGAGGCAGACTGGGTTTGACTCATTGTTTAGGGAACTGGATTCTGCACATGACAAGAGGTGTATTTGGTGTAGTGGTTAAGTGCGCCAGTTTGGTGTCATGGTTAAGTGCGCGGATTCTAATCTGGGAGAACTGGGTTTGATTCCCCACGCCTCCACTTGCACCTGGCTGGATGACCTTGGGCAAGGCATAGTTCTCTCAGAGCTGTTCTCTCAGGAGCAGTTTCTGTCAGAGCTCTCTCAGCCCTGCCTACAGGGTGTCTGTGGTGGGGAGGGGAAGGGAAAGGAGTTTGTAAGCCGCTCTGAGACTCCTTTGGGTAGTGAAGGGCGGGGTATAAATCCAGTCTCTTCTTCTAAATCTGTAAGCGCTTAAACCAATCTCTAAAATCTTCTAGGATATAGTAGCTACAATCCCTTATTCATGATCTTCTTTTCCACAGGTTATTTTCACCCATTCATAAAATGGTATCCGGTTTTCGCTCACGTTTTGTTCACGTTGATCTTTCAACGAGTCTGTCGCTATATCAATTTCCGCTATTTCAAAGATTTTTGTCAAGAGTTCCTCTTTCGTTGGTATCTCTGGTTTCTTCCAATACCTAGCATAGATGCAGAGCTTTTTTTGTAGAAAAAGCCCAGCAGGAACTCATTAGCATAATAGGCCACATCCAACATCAGAAACTCATTAGCATATTAGGCCACACCCCAAGCCTTCTCTTGGCTTGCCCGGGCGCCCCACTGCTGCGGGGAGCCCGAGCAAGCCCCCCCTTGAAGGGAAGGCAGTTTAAACTGCCTTCCCTTGGCTTGCCCCGGCGCCCTGCGGCTGCAGGGAGTCCGGGCAAGCCCCCCCTTTGAAGGTGTGAGCGTAGCCAACTCAGGAGCCAGCCGGAACGCCGTTCCAGTGCGTTCCTGCGCAAAAATAGCACTGCATAGATTATCTTTGCTGCTGTAACTATATGTATAATTAAGTGCTTAACTTTCTTGGTTTTTTTACATCAGGCATAATATTAAGCAAAAACATTTCTGGTTTAAATGGTATCGGTATCAGACATATTTTTTGCCTGAATCCAGGGAGGTGGGTGGGCTGCGAGAGATCCGGGGCTCTTAACGTCTGCAGTTTTCTCTGCAGGTTTACCCGACAGCCACCCGTGCCCTGGGCCTGGGGACGTGCAGCGGGGTCGCTAGAGTGGGAGCGCTCATCACCCCATTCATTGCACAGGTAAAAGAAATCTATAGCTCTCTCCATCCCGAGGTTTACACGAGTCCCACGAGGACACAGCGGTGTAGACAGGACTCTTCTTTAAGCTGGCAGTAAGAATGGGGCCAAAAGATTAGCCAGCGGAAGTGGCCAAGGAGAGTCAGTCTCTTGCGCTGGAGGGTGGGCCCTTGGGCAGGGTGGAAAGCCGGCCTCAGTGCGATTTTAAAAATGGCAGATTCGCTTTTCGTGCCATCCAATGGGTGTGTTCATTCAAACAGTGTTGCACTGACGTGTGTGCCTGCACAGAGACAACTAGATGAACAACAGTTACAGGTCAGCGCAACCCTGTTTTCATCGTCGTTGTCTCTGTGCAAGCCCACGCTTGGGACTGTACAGAGACGACGACAGTGAACAACCAGACACGTGGTTAATGGGGTGGAGGGGACACGGCAGAGAAGGCCAGCGTCCTTCGTGCTGCCTCAGGAGCGTGAATCCTGACGTGCCCATTGCAGGGATGAGGTATCAAGGGCTGAAACATAACAGGTCATCCCTCTTTGTCTTTTATCTGTTCTAACCTGACCGCTCAGCAATCTCATGGAGTGCCCACGAGTTCTTGCATTGTGAGAAAGGGAGAAAAGGACCTCTTTCTCGACCTGCTCTTTCCCATGCATAATCTTGTAAACCTCGATTATGTCACCCCTCGGCCGTCGTTTCTCCGAGCTAAAGATCCCCAAGCGCTTTAACCTTTCTTCATAGGGAAAGTGTTCCAACCCTTTTATCATCCTAGTTGCCCTCTTCTGCACTTTTCCCAATGCTATAATATCCAGGAATGATGACCCTGGGATATAAGGCTGACCCTAAGATGACCCTGGAGGTCCCTTCCAGCTCTATGATTCCAAGTCCAGACTGCCCTGCCCTGGATGGCCGAGGCCAGCCCGACCTTGTCAGATCTCGGAAGCTAAGCAGGGTCGGCCCTGGTCAGTGTTTCAATGGGAGACCTCCAGGGCTGCCACCACACACAGTGTGGGCCTCCTGGTGCCTGGCAGCACCCCCCCCCCAATGCAGCTTGCAAAATGGTACATGCCAGAAGCCGCTGTCTCTCACGTGCTAAGAGGTGTCAAATTCATTTGTTACGAGGGCCGGATCGGACATAAACGTCACGTTGTCCGCCGGGCCATGTGTGCCATAAAATGTAATGCCAGGTACGGGAGATACAAACTTTATAAAGGACAGAGGCAAACCCAATTAACAATCTTGTTTTTTTACTGCAAATACAAACATGCTTAAAACGTCAACACTCTTGCAATATTTCCTTAAAAGTGTCTCCCTGATGCCCACCCTCCCACTTCTACCGCCCGTTATGCATTAGCCGTGGGACAGTCTACAGGGACATAATGCACAACCTCTGTCATCTGGCAATAAAAGAAACGATCTGTTGCTTACGGGCCGGAGAAGAGCCCTGGATAGGCCAGTTCCAGCCCACGGGCCATATGTTTGACACCCCTGTATAGTGTCATGAGGGTAGTCGTATTGGTCTGAAATAGAAGAGCTTGATTGGAGACTAGAAGCACCTTAGAGACCAACAAGATATTGGGGGGGGGGGGTGAGCCTTCAAGAGTCAAAGCTCCCTTCATCAGATACAAGTCAGAATGGATATCTTCGAGACCGTATATCCCAGTCAGAAGGTGAGGGGGCAAATGAATAACTGGACAAAAAAAATTCCAACCTTAAAATCTACACCTCTAAAAACCAGTGGGAGAACATTTTAATCTTCCAGGCTCCTTCCATCACTGACCTAAGAGTGGCAGTCATCAAACAGAGATGCTTCAAGGGGAGAGTACAACAGGAGATTGCTAAAGTTGACTTCATTCACAAGTTCAGAACAATAGACTCCCCAGGGCTGAAGAGGGACATAGGATTCTTACCCCACTACAGGTGCCGATTTTCTGCCCGCCACCCCAGCATTCCCCTCTTCTCTAATGAAGCTAATTCCTATGTGCATTGTATCTCTGCCTCCTGTGTTTCTTTTTTGCAACACCCCTCCCACTTTCTCCCTGGGATATACGGACTCGGGGATCTCCCTTCCTGCTTGTATCTGATGAAGAGAGCTTTGAACCTGGAAAGCGCACACCCCAGAAATCTCATTGGTTTCTAAGGTGCCAGCAGACTCAAATCTCGCTATGCCAGAGAGTGTGCCTTTGGATCGACCAGGAGCCCAGTTGCCCAGCTGTCCTCCCGAGGACCTTCTCTTGTGACCCTTCAGGGGCCCCGCGTGAGTCTGTGCGTCTGCCGGAGCCACTGCCTTTTCTCACATTCTCCCCGCAGGTGATGCTGGAGTCCTCGGTCTACCTGACCCTGGTCGTGTACAGCGGCTGCTGCCTCTTGGCCGCTCTGGCCTCCTGCCTGCTGCCCATCGAGACGAAAGGCCGGGGCCTGCAAGAGTCCACCCACAGGGAATGGGGTCAAGAGATGTTTGGGCGTGGGGTCCCCCGATCAAACTCTGGCTCTCAGGGCTGACGTGGGACCCGCGGGACTGAGGACAAGGACGTCTGGAGGTCTCCCCCGCCCCCAAAGCCCCAACCTGACTGGAGAGGCAGGAGACCTGGTCCCTGCCGTGGATCAAAACAGCACGAAGGCTCGATATGTGTCCCGGACTCCTTTTGGCTTGCCTCCACGGCCGTCGCTTGGGCAAAGAGAGCGATTGGACTGGGGAAGCGGGTGCAAGTGTGCGACGTAGGCGGACACGGCGCGGCTAGGCAGAACGAGACGGGGGCCCTCCCAGGCCCCCCGCTTTGTGTTCATGGTTGACGGCTGAGCTTACCGTTTCCTGTTGCTGAGTGATGTGTCAAGCGAGCGGCTCGAGGACTGAGCCCGGGCTCTCCTCGAGACAGCAAACGCTCTCGACGCCTGGAAGCGAGCAGCCTGGGCTCTACGGCACACCTGTCTCTGGAACGGCACACAGCCAGTCCCGCCGCGCACTTGTGGATTCAACACCTGCCTTGCACTTTTCCGGTCATCAACGGCCATCAGCATCGACACAGTGTTGTGAGTCTCTCCGTGCTTCCTCAGGTTCCTTTGCCAAAAAAAAAAAAAAGGCTGGTTTCTTGAGGGCTTTTTTGGTCGTTTCTAGAGTGTCTTCTTGCACTGCTGACACAGAGCTCTGCTCGATCCAGAGGTAGGCCTCCCCAAAATCACACCGTTTATGAAAAAAGTCTTGCTGGCAACCTGGGAACAGAAATTGCGTTTTTCTAACGGTTCAGTCCTGTGTTGGGTAAGTCAGGGAAGGCTGCTATTGTGGTTCTGGTTTTGTGTCCGTGCGTGTGTATACGTGCAGAGATTCGTGCTATGTTGCACTGCATGGGGTACCTCTTCCCATACACTTCCCTTGGATTGTCCCTGCATCTGAGTTGCCCATATTTGAGGTCAGAGAGGCGGGCGTGATAGTTGGGCTCACCAGAAGGACGATACAGGAAAAATGCTTCCCTCTTGTTTTGATACCCCGTGGCTTGAGATCTGAGTGGTGAATGCAGGGGTAGATCCTGGTCTGTAGGAAATGGATTGGTCTGTCTAAACGTTCTGATGCTCCAGAATGTTTGGAAATGTATTTATTAATCTTGATCCGAATGCCTTTGAGCTGTCTTGAAGCAGCGTCTCTCAGTTAAGAACAGAAGTCCTGCTGGATTAGAAATACACCCAAGCCAAGTTTCCTGTTTCCAGTAGAAGGGAGTATAAACGCTATGTAGCCCTAAACTGCTCTAAAACTGCTTTATTAACAATACTATACTATCAAATGTCTTAAAGATGATAAATTTAACAATCAATGTCACAGCACAAACATACAGCAAAAAATCGTAAATGAAAGCCGACTCATAACTCTGAACTGCCCGCAAAAGGAGCCATGTAGTACAAATCAATATGTAAACAATTGCAGGGACGTTATAAACGTTTTCACAAGTAATGTGGCTCCAGATTCTGTATGCGGCCGTGGAATCGATAATACACGTTTGTCATGAGACAAGGATTCCGGATGTGACCTCATTTCGAGATCTTTTTCAGTCCTAATGAACCAATACAACAGACATGTGAGTTTTTGCTATTGTATAATTCACTGTTGACATTATAAAAGGTAAAGGTTCCCTTGCTCGAAAGCCAGTCGAATCCGACTCTAGGGTTGTGGTGCTCGTCTCCATTTCAAAGCCGAAGAGCCAGCGCTGTCCGAAGACGTTTCCGTGGTCATGTGGCCGGCATGACTAAACACCAAGGTGCACGGAACGCTGTTACCTTCCCATCAAAGCGGTACCTATTTATCTACTTGCAATTTCTTGCTTCCGAACTGCTAGGTTGGCAGGAGCTGGAACTAGAGACGGGAGCTCACTCCGTCATGCGGCACACTCGGGTCTCGAACTGCTGAACGACCGACCTTCCACAGCCTGCAGTTCAGCGTCTTAACCACTTGAGCCACCGCATTATACTTGCTTACATATATTGTCGTTTTATTGATGTTTCTGTTCATTAGGCTGTAACATTGATTGTTAAATTTATCGTCTTTAAGACATTTGATAGTATAGTATTGTTAATAAAGTTTCAGTTTGAGAGCAGTTTACATCGCGTTTATACTCCCTTCTACTGGTTTGGCTAAGTTTCCTGTTTCCAGCTATGGCAGCCAGATGCCTCTGGAATGCCTGCAAGCAGGAAACGATGGCCATTTCCTTCCCTGGTGTTTGTCATGACTCACAGCCACCAGTAGACCTTTCCTCTATGAACTCATTGCTGCTCGATGATGCAAAGAATTTCAGCTGGCATTACATCTGGATCGGGAAGTCCTAGATGGATGCAGAATCCATAGAAGACGGCTGGTATTTCCTGCTGCCGAGATATATGCGCACTTGTGTGCTGGCAAGTCTAATCTGAGTGACGGAACGGTTGGGACTCACATGGAATGGTAATCCGTGGCCTTGCAGGATTTAAGGAATGTATTGTCGTTCATTGCTCTAAAATATTTATGCCCCACCTACCAACCAGACTTTTCAAGGGATGCACGTTTTAAAACGACACACCTGGGAAATGAGAATCAGTTCTGAATGAAACTGATAGAACAACGTTTGAGTCCAGTGGGCACCTTTAAGACCAACAAAGTTGAATTCCGGGTATAAGCATTCGTGTGCATGCGCACAAGTGCGCATGCACACGAACGCTTATGCCCGGAATTCAACTTTGTTGGTCTTAAAGGTGCCCGGAATTCAACTTTGTTGGTCTTAAAGGTGCCCACTGGACACAAACGTCGTTCTGTTGATTCAGCCCAACACGGCGACCCGTTTGAATAGAAGCAGTGTGAGAGTCTCTGAAATCCCACCCCAATGCCCCAGGAAATTGGCTCCTAAAGACCAACTGAGTCAGCACCGGGAGGGGACATCTAACCCTGGCTGCACCGATGGGCAGATGGGACCTGTAACCTTCCTGGGCCACAGGCTTGGAGGACAGCTTGGACCCAGCCAGGGGTGGTGACAAGAACTGCTGTCCGGCCTGTTACCAGATGGTGGCGCTAGAGGCACGGGAGAAGGCGGCAGGCAAACCAACGGATTTTGCCATTCAGGGGGCCTTTAAATAAGTCAGGGGGCAATAAATAAATAAAGAAGAAGAAGAAGAGATTGGATTTATACCCCGCCCTTCACTACCCAAAGGTGTCTCAGAGCGGCTTACAAACTCCTTTCCCTTCCCCTCCCCACAACAGACACCCTGTGAGTGGGCGGGGCTGAGAGAACTCTGACACAAACTGCTCTTTTTCAAGGACAGCTGTGCCAGAGCTTGTGACTGACCCAAGGTCACATCAGCAGGTGCAAGTGGAGGAGTGGGGAATCAAACCCGGTTCTCCCAGATTAGAGTCCGCACACTTAACCACTACACCAAACTGGCTCTAAAAACTGCTTGCCTGCTTCCGGCCCCACTTTCAGCCATCGACTAGATAAACATTCCATGGAGATGTAGGCAGTTTTCCTCCAAAACGCGTTGCAAAAGTTAGTATGGGCAGGGTCCTTCAAATGACTTGCTGAAACGCCAAACAATACAAAAGGCCAAAGAACCTCATAGGTCGGGGTTCTCCCCGCCCCCAAGAAACGTGTATGAGGATGGTCAAGGAACTCCAATTCAGCCACCTTTAGAAGACGTCCGTTACCATAAAAGACTCAGGATCATATTGGTATCAGTGGGGAAATGTCCCAAGCTCATATTTTCATAGCCTGCTGCCTTGCAGGCTGCAAAAGCCTTTGGCATTTTTCATGGCACGATGTCAATGTTTTACAACACCATGCTAAGATAACCCCCAAATGGGGATTGGCTGGGGGGGGTACATTTCACCTGCATAAGAAATGTGCTTGCAAAGTGAAAAGGCGCTCGTAAGTCACACGGAGAGTTTCAAGCTGGGGTCAGCAGATGAAGCTCATGAGCTTTATCCGCCCCCCCCCCAGTCATATTCGACACAGCTTTTCTCCCAGATATTCTTGCCAACTCCAGGTGGGAAATTCCTAGAGATCTGGCCGTGGTGCCTGGGAAGTCTATGCTGTAGAGTCTACCTGCCAGAGCTGCTATTTCCTTAGCTTTGCCAGGTCCTCCCAGGCCACCGGTGGGGGTGGGGTTAGGGTTGCCAAATCCAGATTGGGAAACTCCTGGAGATTTGTGGGTGGAGCCTGGGGAGGAGAGGGACCTCAGTGGGATACTATGACATAGGGGTCCACCCTCCAAAGCGTCCATTTTCTGCAGGGGGGAATGGATCTCTGTAGTCTGAAGCTGTAATTCCAGGGGATCACCAGGTCTCACCTGGAGGCTGGCATCCCTACATTTGCTCCAAGGGAACGGATCTATGTAGATATAATTCTGGGGAATCCCCAGCCCCCACCTGGAGATTGGCAACCCTACTTTCCAGGAGTAGAATGCCATCTTGGGACCGATCCAGCCTACTGGCTTTGTGGTTCTGCCCCTGTGAAGGCTGCTTGAAAGACTGGGGCACACTGAATCTGCAGTGTCGACAATGGTCCCATATCAAGCTCCTGGAAATCAAGTTTGCTTTGTATGTTGTATTCAATACTAAGTGGCCCTGCCTGCATACGACGAGGGCAAGAGCTTTTGTTCAGTAATGATGACCCCGAGAAAGGATGGTCAAGCTGAATCAAACTCCATTTGAGTCAACAGGGTTTCTCTTGAGCAGTGCAAAACAAGTTTCTTATACTTTTTTGTGGGGGGAGGGACTCGGGAATGAATACATCGCAGTTTATTATGACTTAGAAACCGAGTGTGTTTGAGTTTCTTAAGATACTAAAAACGACCAGTGTATATAATTCCCAAAGGGGTAGTGATGTTAGTCTTTTGTAAAAGAACTAAATCAAAGGTCCGGCGGTCCCCGAAAGGCTGGCAAAATTTATGCCCGTATTGATTCCAGCGTAAATTTTGCTAATCTTTCAGTCGTCGCTGGACTTCTGTTGGACGCTGTACATAACAAAACCTTCCAAAGATTCCATTCCAGACACAGTTCTGCATTTCCCCCTTGGGAATGGATACAATACCTGCTGGTGCGTTCTCTTAAAAAAACAGAAGACCGTGCGGAATTAATCTCAATTGTGGGGTGCCGAATCCCGCCCATCAGTCTGTCCGAAGTGCAATATACGGTCGCGAGGGCGAAGGGATTCCCCTGCATCTGCTGTGACGAATGACCTTTGTATTTCTCGATGCTTGCTGAGAAAAAGAACACTGAATGTTTCTCTCGTGTTTGAATGTACAGTTTCTAAACCAGGCACACTTTCGTGTTGAAGAAAAGAGATCGGTATCCTGAGCTTGTCGTGCTCTGTTCTTGTTTCTCTGTCAATGATGCAATGTTAGATAGTTCGATTCGACAGTTGATATTTTATGTTGAATAAATGAATAGTTTTTGCAGTAATGGGGTTTTCGGGGCCTTTGCTTTCCTGGGCTGCTCTAATCGCCAAACGACCAGCCCCACCTCCCCTGCCAGAGAAGACCACAAAGGCATCTATCCAGACACCCCACCCAAGTCAGTCTATTTCCAATCGGCTGCCTTCCCCAGTGGCCTCTGCTCCGTTTTGTCTGAGTTCCGTTTCTCTCGGGGCTTTTTTCCTGGAGGAACGCACCGGAATGGAGTTCCGGAACCTCTTTGAGAAAATTCGTTTTTAAATGTTTAAAAGTTCAGGAGTTTTCAGTGTACAGATTGAAAAGTTTATTTCCCTCTGGCGCCTCTTTAAAAAAACCAACCAACCATGGTTTCACCACTAAGGCTGTGGTCACACACACTAAATAACCGACTTTCAGTGCACTTTCAATGCACTGTCGAATTCGATTTTGCCAGTCCACCCAGTAAAAATACAGTTGGAAAGTGCAATGCACTTTCCAACTGTAATTTTACTGGGTGGACTGGCAAAATCCAATTCGACAGTGCACTGAAAGTGGATTGGAAGCGGATTATTCAGTGTGTGTGACCGCAGCCTAAGACAATTATTAAGAGTTCAGAAGGTGAACTGGATTCCCTGATTCTACAGAATCTAACCCTAAATGGAAGATTTTATTTTAAGAATCGTCGCCCAGGCTATCAGAGATTGGCACGGGGTGGTTTGGACAGCTTCCGGTCCCCAAGGATCCTCCCAAGCAATCTGGCTGCCTCCATCGCACAGCCCCAGTGGATGGTGAGCCCAAAGCCGCCGTGGCCGTAGTTATGGATCACCTGGAACAGACAAAAACAGGCAAGAACAGCGCTTGGGTGGTGTCCTGGCACTTTGCTCGGCTAGCGGCACCTCTTTCCGCTGGCACAAGGGGCCTTTCTCCCCCCCCCGCACACGTCTCCAAGTCTCCTTGAACTGGAAAAAAGGGGAATGGCAGGATACAACCCTGGGGTGGGGTTTGTGGTGGCCGGGACTCTGGTGCTAATTGGGCAGGAGATCTAGGGCTCAGGGGGGGGGGATCTAGATTGCAGGCTTGACCTGATCCCTCTGACCTAGGGGGACTGGGGCATGTCCTTTTAGGAGGGGTGGGAAGGGGGGGCTCGGCGTTCATCCAACTGCAAATCCCTGGGTCCTTTAGGGGATTCAGCCGAGCAGGCCTAAAACGGGTACACACAGGCACTTTGGGTAGACCCTGTGGTTTTTATCTTGGAAATTAAGCAAAGAACTTCTTGGGAGCCAGTTTGATGTCGTGGTTAAGTGCGCGGACTCTAATCTGGGAGAACCGGGTTGGATTCCCCACTCCTCCACTTGCACCCACTGGATGACCTTGGGCAAGCCATAGTGCTGACAAGAGCTGTCCTTGAAAAAGAGCAGTTTCTGTCAAGAGTTCTCTCAGCCCCACCTACCTCACAGGGTGTCTGTTGTGGGGAGGGGAAGGGAAAGGAGTTTGTAAGCCGCTCTGAGACACCTTTGGGTGGTGAAGGGCCATGGGGTATAAATCCAATCTCTTCTTCTTCTTTGTTGATGTCTGAGTTGCCAGTCCGGGGACAACCCTTGCGCCTTGTTTCCTAGAAGGCCCTCTAACTCGGGGAACAGACTGGCAGTCTGACAATGGGACAAATCACTTCCTCAGCTGGTCTGATCACAGTCCTGGCGGTCCGAGTGGGCCCTTGTGGTTTCAGCCACATTAAGTGACCAGCAGTCAGTGTTCCCTTTAAGCTGAATTAATGTGAGCTAGCGGCTCACACATTTTTGTCTCAGCTCAGGACGGAGGGCTCCAGAGCAGGCTAATTTATGCAGCAGCCCAATCGCTCGCTCACAGCTTTAATGCCAGGAGCTCACAAAGTAGAATTCTTGCTCACAGGACTCCACAGCTTAGAGGGAGCATTGCCAGCGGTGCAATCCTAGACAAAGCACCGCCCTTCCAAGTCCACGGAAGTCAATGGGCTTAGAAAGGTGTAACTCTGCTGAGGACCAAGGCTCCCTCTAAGCTGTGGGGTCTTGTGAGCAAAAATTCTACTTTGTGAGCTCCTGGCATTAAAGCTGTGAGCGAGCGATTGGGCTGCTGCATAAATTAGCCTGCTCTGGAGCCCTCCGTCCTGAGCTGAGACAAAAATGTGTGAGCCGGAGGCTAAAAAACGGTGAGCTAGCTCACACTCACTCAGCTTAGAGGGAACACTGCTTAGGACTGCGACTGTTAGTTGCAGCAAGGCGATTCCAAATGGCAGCCAACGAAGCCCGTTCCTTGTTCCGCCAAGGAGGAGGCACTGTGCTGCCCCCAGTCAGCGTTATCTGTAGTTTAGTAAAACTGCGCTGTATCTTTAAGAGTTGTTGCACCTGGGAATTGTAGTTCACAGTTAGGGGTCCCAGAAGCTTCCCTCTGACTGGCTCATTAAGAGCAATTTCCTGAGCTCAGAGGCACAAAGATAGGAGTTTTATTGTTCTTTTCCGTTCCTTTGTTCATCAACCCTTACTGCAAGGAGAGGGGAAGTCCATCTCTTTCTCACCGCGGCTATAGAACTGACCTAGATCACAAGATGATACGGTTCCCTACCCAATCTCTCCCCTCCTTTGCAGTTTAAAGAGTAGACAAAGATGGGAAGAAGGCTGTAAAACTCAAATCCTCGCGCCTCTGGGTGCAGGAAATGACTGTTAATCAGCCAGTCACAGGGATGCTTTGGGATGTCTAACTAAAGACTTCAGTTCCCAGGGGCAACTGCTCTTAAAGATATATGGCACAGATAACGCTGACTGGGGGCAGCACAGGCACCAATGGCCGGGGAAATGGGGCGCTCTAGGAATCCTTCGCTTTCACGCTATGCTCCTCAGAGTCACTCCACTGCTCTCAGTTAATAAGCTGGTTCCTTTCCAAGAACCCTGACTTTGAATCATCTCCAGCTGTGCAATGGCATTCTGCAGGCCCTCTCTCGGGTAGAGTCTGTAATCATCTGCACCGCAGAGATTTCCACGCACGTCGTGTGGCAAACGCCTAGCAGGTCGTTCTGGGAATTTATTCAGAACTGAGTAGCAGAGAGCTCCCCCCCCCCCCCGGGAATCAACCAGCCTCATCAGATATAAGTCAAGTTACAGGGTTGGTCCCTGAGTCTTGCCAGCATCCGATCCAGGGCAGAGGCCCAGCAAGGTGAGGGTTAAAGGGACATTAAGTCCAGGCAGGTGCAGCTGGCAATACCAACAGGGTCCAGGTGAGGGTGCAGGGCAGTGTTCCCTCTAAGCTGTCAGTGTGAGCCAGCTCACAGTTCTTTAGCCTCCGGCTCACACATTTTTGTCTTTGCTCAGGAAGGGATGGCTCCAGAGCAAACTAACTGATGCAGCATCCAAATGGCTTGCTCACAACTTTAATGCCAGTGGCTCACGAAGTAGAATTTTTCCTCGCAAGGCTCCACAGCTTAGAGGGAGCCTTGGTGCAGGGACACCTGGGCAGTCAGTTGGGAAGACAGCCTGCCCAGACCAGAGCAGGTAATCTGTTGGGCTTATTCCCTCAAAAGAGCATATCAAGAAGAAGCAAAAAGCTGGGGGGAGGCTCACTAGGCCAGTGGCCCCCAACCCTTTTTGAGCCACCGGTCCCTCGGGAAATCTGGCCCAATGGGATGGGCGCAGCCACAAGATGGCTGCTGCAGGAGGCGGAGCCCGCCACAAAATGGCTGCCTTGTCTTATCTTCAGAAACGCGGCTGGTGTTGTGGTGGGAGATGCTATCAAAGCACGGTTTTTAAAAATCTGAACTGCCAATCAGATCTCCAATGGCCAATCAGAAGTCCTGTTGGGCAAAAGCCTCACCTGGCCCCGCCCGCTTTCTAAAAGCCATTGTCAGGCACCAGGAAAGGGGTGGGTGGGCCGTGTTGGGGACCACGGCCCTAGACAAAGCAAGGAACCTCAGACAAGCCAGTGTTATGTGTGCCTAGGTGCACAGATGAAGAGAAGAAGAAGAGATTGGATTTATACCCTGCCCTTCACTACCCAAAGGTGTCTCAGAGCGGCTTACAAACTCCCTTCCCTTCTCCTCCCCACAACAGACACCCTGTGCGGTAGGTGAGGCTGAGAGAGCTCTAACAGAAACTGCTCTTTTTCAAGAACAGCTCTTATCAGAACTATGGCTTGCCCAAGGTCACATCAGCAGGTGCAAGTGGAGGAGCTGGGGAATCAAACCGGGTTCTCCCAGATTAGAGTCCACGCACTTAACCACGACACCAGTACACCAATGGAACATAATGTGCACAAATGACACACAATTAATTCACCCATCCTGCGAGCACTGCCTTTGGACCCCATACAGCTCTTTCCATCCCGAAATCTGCTTACCTCTGACTGTAAGTGCCCGTGGCGTATAACTTCGTGCTCCAGCCGAACTTTAGACCGGGCTGGACGGAAGCCAACCCATTTGTCAACAATCTTGGCTTTCTGGAAACAAAAAAAGGGGTTTGCCACACTTCCGGTCACACACTCGAAAACATACGAGCTGCGAATGGCCACAACAGACAGATCCGCCTCTGTCCTGTGGACATCCTTTCCGCTGACGGTGCTGCTTTCCCCTGGAGCAAGGGGCTCATGACCGGGGGGGGGGGAGGGGGGGAGAATAGATCTGTGTGATCCAGCCCATAATCAGTGTTCCCTCTAAGCTGAGTCAGTGTGAGCTAGCTCACAGTTTTTTAGCCTCCGGCTCACACATTTTTGTCTTAGCTCAGGAAGGAGGGCTCTAGAGCAAACTAATCTATGCAGTAGCTTAATCATTTGCTCACAACCAATGTTCCCTCTAAGCTGTAGAGTCCTGTGAGCAAAAATTCTACTTTGTGAGCTACTGGCATTAAAGTTGTGAGCGAGCGGTTTGGCTGCTGCATAAATTAGTTTATTCTGGAGCCCTCCTTCCTGAGCTAAGACAAACATGTGTGAGCTGGAGGCTAAAAAAACTGTGCGCTAGCTCACACTAACTCAGCTTAGAGGGAACACTGCTCACAACTATAAGGCCAGTAGCTCACAAAGTAGAATTTTTGCTCACAAGACTCCACAGCTTAGAGGGAGCATTGCCCATAATATCTCCCAGCCTTGGGACGGATCTCCTTTGGATGGATGATGAGCCCCACGGTCCAGCTCTTCCCACGTCCTGTTATCCCACAACAGCTAACTGATCCCTCTGGGAACAGCAGAGGCAGGGCGGGGAGGCAAGGACTCCGCCAGCTGATGCCCCCCTGGCGACATCCTGCCTTTGCGGATTGTGGCAGCCCCGCTTGGTCAAGGGCGCTTTGCCCCGGCTCTGCCATAACCTTCCCTGCAGCGGAGGCCCTGCCAGGCCTCAGAGAGCAAGCGGGTGGCACCGCCTTCTTCCCCCACCTTTCCGTATCCTCTGCTCTCCCGTGCAGCCTGAACATAAGGACATAGGAGAAGCCATGTTGGATCAGGCCAATGGCCCATCCAGTCCAACACTCTGTGTCACTCAGTGGCCAAAACCCAGGTGCCATCAGGAGGTCCACCAGTGGGGCCAGAACTCCAGAAACCCTCCCACTCTTGCCCCCCCCCAAGCACCAAGAAGACAGAGCATCACTGCCCCAGACATAAGAGAAGCCATGCTGGATCAGGCCAATGACCCGGCCCATCCAACAGTCTCTGTCACACAGTGGCCAAAACCCAGGTGCCATCAGGAGGTCCACCAGTGGGGCCAGAACTCCAGAAACCCTCCCACTCTTGCCCCCCCCCAAGCACCAAGAAGACAGAGCATCACTGCCCCAGACATAAGAGAAGCCATGCTGGATCAGGCCAATGACCCGGCCCATCCAACAGTCTCTGTCACACAGTGGCCAAAACCCAGGTGCCATCAGGAGGTCCGCCAGCGGGGCCAGGGCTACTTCACCCTCTGCTGCCTGCTGGAGATTCTCTTGCAGTCCCTGGCTTGCTGTTCCCCTCTACCCTTTCGCCCAACCAGAAGTGCCCTGAAACCCTCCGGTCTCCACTATAGCCGCCTCCCAGGTTGCTCCCTCTCCCGGGCAGAGCTGGAGGATGGGACCGGCTCCCTCTGGCTGCGCAACTCTGTCCTGCCTGTCCTGGGTGCTTCGTGGACTGGCTGCTGCAGCTGCCAGTTGTGTTGTGTTTGTCGCAGCCAAGGTGAGTTGCCCCTGCAAGCCCGGGACTGGTCCCGTCAGCCACCAGCCAAGCACGGAGGCTCCCCCTGCCCTCGGCCTGTTCCTCTTCCTGGCGATGCCTTTGCAGGTTGTCGGTGACGGCTGCCGTCCTCACAGAGTGTGGCACAGAGCGACGCGGGTGGGGTCGGTGAGGCGGACATACCTGGATGCTCGGCAGCAGCTGGCAGCACTCTTGCCAAATTTTGTGGTGGTCCCGGGAGCTGATCTCTTTGCTCCAGTTTCCCAGCTGGAAAGTCCCTCCCAAGGTCACGAGCCGGCTCCTAGACCGAAGGCAGAAGGTGAGCCGGGCGAGCAGGCCCTGATCCGACATCCACACATGCGCAGGGGCTTAGTGAGGGGGTGGTTTGCATACAGAAGGTGACGCTGGGCCCAGCAACAGGAACATGTGGCCTGGTGGTGCCCAGAGAATGACTCTTTCTCATGAGCACCCGAACACACACGAAGCTGCCTGGTGTAGTGGTGAAGTGCGCCGACTCTAATCTGGGAGAACCGGGTTTGATTCCCCACTCCTCCACTTGCACCTGCTGGATGACCTTGGGCAAGCTACAGTTCTCTCAGAGCTGTTCTCTCAAGGACAGTTCTGGAAAGAGCTCTCTTAGCCCCACCCACATCACTGGGTGTCTGTTGTGGGGAGGGGAAGGGAAAGGAGTTTGGTAGCTGCTCTGAGACTCCCTTGGGTTGTGAAGGGCGGGGGATACATCCAGTCTCCTCCTTTTCTCCTTCTTCCTCTTCTTCCCACAGCAGCTCTCCAGGGTCACGGGCAGAGGTCTTTCCCATCGCCCACTACCTGATTCCTTTAACTGAAATTGCCGGGGATTGAACCGGGGACTCTCTGCATACCGAGCACATCCTCTGCCTCTGAGCCGCAGCCCCTCCCATCTATGACATCACCTGTGAGGGAAGTGATGGTTGGCCTCTCCCACAGAATCCTCGAACGCCGTGTGCAGCCGTTTCCCATGGTGCTCCACTGGGGCCTGCAGGGGCAGATCGGCCCCTTAACTTGTTGGAAAAGTTCCTGGTGAGCTGCTGTTCTGGAAAGCCACTGGCAACCAGCAGCAAGGGCCCCTGCGGTGTTGGCCATCCCACAGGCCCAGGCCCAGGTCACGGCCACTATGACAACGGGGGCAAGTCAGTCAGGTGGACCTGAATGGATCCTGCAAGCACCGCAGAGCCCACTCAGTTCTGTTTGTTCCAGGGCTGTTTTACTCTCCCCGTCTGTTCCCAGTTGCCAAATGGGTGGTGCCGAAGGCCACCCTCTAGCTTGATGTGACTCGTAACCAGGGGTCATTTCCTGCAGGAGCGCACAGGAGCGGAGCTCCGGCAGTAAAGAGCCCAAGGGGCGGGCACATGCAACAAGCCCCTGCTCCCAGCAGCCCTCAGTCAGAGCAAGAAGCAGGCAGGTAAGTTGCAGAGCCCCCCCCCCCAGTCCAAAACAGTCCAGTGGCACCTTTAAGGCCAAGTTCTATTCAGCTACAAGCTCTCCCTCCTCTGCGAGGACAGATCTGCACGTGTCCCCCCCCCCAATAGCTAGCCATCCAAAACAGTCCAGTGGAGCCTGAGCGGTGTGCGTTGCCTTCTGACACACTTCCGGTGATGTCAGGGGGTGTGGCATATGCTAATGAGTTATGCTAATGAGCTCCTGCACCTCTTTTTCCACGAAATGACCCCTGCTTGTAACAGCTACCAAGCACTAAACTGGCCCCACGAACAGGAATGAAGAAAGAGCTTCAAGGATTTATCTGGGTCCCCTCAGCAGATTCTGCTGTAGCCAATGAAAAACTTGCCTTACCCAGGTATGATGTAAGGCGTATTATAGAGGCCAGACTTGATATCATGGGTTATGATGAAATGCTTCACCCAAGGAGCGTCCACCTGAAGGTCCGAAAAGGGTAGTTAGAGCGAGAGCAGAAGATTCCCTCATCCGGCATTCCCCATGGAAAAAGCAAGGAGGCAAGGAGCCGGGGGGGGGGGCTACTCAGCTCGAGCTTCTCCCTGCCCCCCCCCAATCAGCCTCTCCCATGATCAAGATATTCACTGTAAGCTCCTTGGGGCAGGGATCAACCTTTGTTTTTTGTTTCTAAAACTCCAGCCCACACCATGCACATCGGTGGTGCTATAAGTGCCCGGAATTGCAGCAATAACCCCCCTTCCTTTTCTCTAGAAAAAATGCCCCCCCCATTCATGCAGGCAGAGGCTTCCTTATCATCGTGAGCAACGCTCCTAATGGAACTGCCCTCATAGCGCTTGTGGGGAGGGCAGTACAGAAGCCTAATAAAATAACTAAATCTTTATGACTGAAGGGCTGTTTCTGACCCAGAACCCAGTTTGGTGTCGTGGTTAAGAGCGGCGGACTCTAATCTGGGAGAACCGGGTTTGATTCCCCACTCCTCCACATGCAGCCAGCTGGGTGGCCTTGGGTCAGTCACAGGTTCTTTCAGAGCTGTTCTCTCTGGAGCAGTTCTCGAGAGAGCTCTCTCAGCCTCACCTACCTCGCAGGGTGTCTGTTGTGGGGAGGGGAAGGGAAGGTGACTGTAAGCCGCCCTGAGACTCCTTCGGGTAGTGAAGGGTGGGGTATAAATCCTTTCTCTTCTTCTTCTTCATATCCAGCTCCCCTCGCAACTAGCTCCTCCCTCTCAGCCACGCAACCCCCTGTAGATAATTCCTGGCCCTGTACAGTGCTGGAAGTCGCATGATGGGCATTGCAATGCCTTGTGCCAGGGCAGCTTGCAAAGGGAGGGGACTGTTCGCCTGACCTTGGCTGCTCTGCAGCGCCACCACAGCAGGTGGCCAGAAGGGGCATTGCAACTTTCCGCCCAGCAGGGATCAAGCGACAGGAGGAGCCAGCAGGACCCTGTTTCCTCCATACAACGCTGCCAGCTCCGCTGTGGCCTTTTGATTAGCAACTTGTTGCAGAGACCGGCTCTCTGTTCAACCACCTGTTTCCCAAACGTATCCCAAAGCCTGGCCTCACCTTTATGACTTGCCCCCGACCGGGGAGCAACTCAGGGTCTGGCTGCAGCTCCCCTGCACGAACCCCCGTACAGTTGATGATGACATCCACCCCTTGCGCCGTCAACTGGCAGAAGACAGATTTGTGAAGTTATTCTCCCTTTTGGCCTGGCAGAACCATGTTGTGATCAAAGGCCTCTTGTGCCAGTCCACGGCTAGTATATCGCACGATCCGCGATTCTCTCTTCTGATCACTCATATTTGAGAAAACTGCCTGTCTTGACAGGTATCTGACAAAGGGATCTTTGGCTTTTGAATGCTTATGCCGGGGGAAACTTTTTTGGTCGCTAAGGTGCCGTCGGACTCTTATTCAGCTGTTTGACTGCAGACCAAGACAGCTGCCCTCTGGAATGGCCGGTCTTCTTGTAACCCACTGCTCATCCTCCAAATGTGTCTCTTCACGAGCATCTTTGCGTTGCAATCGGCCTTCCACAAACTGAACTTCGGGGAGGGAGGAGTGGGGGCGGGGCTGCAGGCCAGGCCGGCACCCTCTTTCTGTGGCGCCCTAGGCAATGGCCTAACCCCACCTTATGGACGGGCTGGCCCTGCCCAGCAGAGAACTCTAATGGCCACCCACAAGGACACTCCAGTCCCCGTCCCTGAATTTTCACTCCTCATAAAACTCTGGACCTTTTCATTCTCGAGACACAAGGTAGTCTGTGGCATTCCCTGGGTGACCTGGGGCCAGGCATTCTCCCTCAAAACAAAAGGGGAGTGGAAAAGCAAAGACGGTGCCATGCCCCCCTCACAGGTGCGTGTGTGGGGAGAAGGGCCATCAAGTCGCAGCTGATTTGTGGCACTCCCTTGTAGGGTTTTCCAGGCAAGAGAGGAACAGGGGTCGTTCGCCCTTGCCTGCCTCCACGCAGTGGCTCTGGGCTTCCTTGGAGGTCTCCCGTCCAAGTACTAACCAGGGCAGACTCGGCTTAGCAATCAAGTTCTGATGGGATCAGGACAGACTGGACCAGCCAGGTCAGGGTCGGGGCGGCGTAACCATGAAGCAGGCTAGGCACATGCTTAGGGCACAAGGGCCAAAGTGGGCGCCACAAAGTTGGGGAACGGGTGAAAAGAACTTTATGTAGCCCGAGCTTGGCTTCGTTTGTACAGTCTATTGTGTGATCATATTTTTGTATCGCCGCAACCTGCATTGTCTATCTGGCCAGACAGGTCAACAACGAAAATGGACTGGGGGTCAGTGTGGAAAGGAGGGGGGCACCAAGACTGGTCAGTGCTTCGGGCACCAGTGAGCCTTCATCCGCCCCTGGTCAGGGCACTCCTCACCAGTGTCCCCTCTAAGCCGAGTTGGTGTGAGCTAGCTCACAGTTCTTTAGCCTCCAGCTCACACATTTTTACCTTTGCTCAGGAAGGATGGCTCCAGAGCAATGTTCCCTCTAAGCTGTGGAGTCTTGTGAGCAAAAATTCTACTTTGTGAGCTGCTGACATTAAAACTGTGAGTGAGCAATTTGGCTGTTGCATAAATTAGTTTGCTCTGGAGCCGTCCTTAATGGGCTAAGACAAAAATGTGAGCTGGAGGCTAAAAACTGTGAGCTAGCTCACACTAACTCATCTTAGAGGGAACAATGCTCCAGAGCAAACTAATTCATGCAGCAGCCAAATCGCTCGCTCACAACTTTAATGCCAGTAGCTCACAAAGTAGATTTTTTGCTCACACATCTCCACAGCTTAGAGGGAACACTGCTCCTCACAGGTAGGACGGGATAAAAGCGAGATGGATGGACGGACGGACAGACAGACAGACATTCTACCCGGTCACTCAGCGGCAGTGTTCCCTCTAAGCTGAGTTAGTGTGAGCTAGCTCACAGTTTTATAGCCTCCGGCTCACACATTTTTGCCTGAGCTCAGGAAGGGATGGCTCCAGAGCAAACTAATTTATGCAGCATCCAAATGACTCGCTCACAACTTTCATGCCCATAGCTCACAAAGTAGAACTTTTGCTCTCAGGAGGGAACATTGCTCAGCGGGTCTGCTTAAACCTTCCAGCATTCCAGTCAAGAACGATAAAGGCATTCGGGGTGACTGAAAGATAGCTGGCGATTAATTTTTTAAAAAATAATTAAATTCATGACACTTGCATTACTTCAGAAACTAAATAATGAGAATGTAAACGTATGAGGTCAACAGGGGTGGACGTGCAGGGCTTTGCTCTTTTTCAGACCCCCAATTCTCGCCCTCCCAAATATCTGGAGGCAGCCCTGTCCCGGAGGCCACCCTCTCTAAATCTGCAAAGTGGATTTCCCTTTGGATCGGATCCTCCGCCCAGCTGCAGAAGAGGAAGTGTCTGACTGGTCCTTTTCAAGGCCTTATAAATGCTGAAATTTCCAACTAACCTCTTGGAAAGAGTTGATTTTCCGATGAAAGAATTTGACTCCCCGCATCTTTAACCTGTAAGAAGAATGTCTGCTTCAGACGCGGCAAGAGAGTGAGCCAGACAGGGCCTAAGAGGGAGAGACCAGCAGGATCCTGGGACTCGGAGCTGCCTGGGAACCCCTAGTCTCTCAATCCATGCCCTGCTCCTATTGCAGCTCTCTTGGGGCACAAGAGTTCCAGGATCTAACCCGCTTCTTTTGTCGGATGCGTTTACGCCTACTATTTATTTATGTATTTGATTTCTACCCCGCCCTACCCTGCCGAGGTAGGCTCAGGGTGGTTTACAAAAGAAACACCAAATAAAACAACAGTATAAAATCAATATAAAATACACAATAAAGTTATTAAAACCATTAACATAATGATGGCGTCACGACTGTAATAAAGTGCACATACTGTAGTAAAGTACCTCCACTGTTGGCACGCTCAGGCTGTAAGAAAGCACAGGGCAAAGATGATGGAACGCAGCTCCTTACCTAAATGCCTGACGGAAGAGCTCTTTGGGAACCATGGACAGTAACCTCTGGATTAAATTTCTGGATTAAATTTCTGACTAAATAAATATTTTTCTTCACTGACCAGATGGTGACAATAAATATAACGACATTTAAAAGGGACTAGTGGGAAGTGATCACAGCCATTTGGTGTTGCCAAGAGCCATTGGGACAGAAAGCAGAAAACGTTGTCTCATACACACCGGTTTGTAAGCCAGGGTAGGTAGGTCCTGCCTTCGAGCATCAGGGCCGTGTTCAACCAGCCATAACTGCAACCAGGGAAAAAAAGTAAAGCATTACCCTTTGAAGAACTGAACGGGGAGTGGGCAAGGTGCAGCAGCTGAAGTGCCATCCAATTTCTTTCGGTAGAAAACCTTGCTGGGATCCAGCAGGGCCTCACCAGGCATGCTGATATTAGCCCACCAAGAATATTTTCTATTTCACCATGAATAATGGCCATTATTTATCTATCTGTTAGGGATGGGCACGAACCGAGAAACGAACCGTGGTTTGAGCACAAACCGGGACGGTTCATGGATTGTTTTGAACCGGTTTATTTGGTCGCATCATTCCTGAATCCAAAAATGGACTGCCTTTTTTCCATGGAAGTTCGTTTGGTTCCTAAGAGTGGTTTGTTCTCCAGACAGCCTGCCGCTGATTTAATCAATTCCTAGACAACGCTGGGGGTGGACTTGTGGAGAGCCCTAGAAACACCCACAGCAGTTGTCCATAGCTGGATTGGCAGCTCTAGGAGCCAACCACAGAGCTCCCGTTCTGCTCTATGGGAGCAGATACAGACCCCATCCTGACTCAGCTGCTTTCACTTTGCAGCAGGAAGAGAGAGGAGTTACCGTAGTTGTCGTGTGAGAGCGAGTTAGAAAGAATTGCTTGCTGCATGGCTGATTTAAGGGGAGGCCAGAGCTGAGCTTTCCTGGGGGCACCTGCTTTGGGGGGCTGTAACTCAGACATCCCAAATCCAATCTTTGCCAAACTTGGAGGGTGGGTGCAGGAGAGCCTGATGAAGACTCCCGGTCAGTTTGGCATCTCTAACTCACGAGGGGGCTGTTCTACCATATCCCAAACTCATGAACTGAGCAAACCATTTGAGAAACGGGAAAAGTTTGCGAAAGTTCATGGTTCGTGTAATCAAATGATCCACGAACCACCATTTTCCCAGTTCGCGCCCATCCCTACTATCTATCTTTAATAGTGATCAATAACTGAATATGGATTTCAGAGCTGAATATCTAATTCCAGCTCATTGGCAAGCGGCTTACGCAGGAGTCGTGCAGCTACCCATGGTCACTGGACCACAGGCTAAACAGAGCTTGGCCCAGTTTAACATCTCGTGTTCTGTTTCCACCAGCTGAGAGCCAGAAAGATGACTCTGCCCTTGGTATGGTACTGAAGAGGGGCAGCTGGAACTTGACCCCTTGACCCCACTGTCCTTCCTGCCCTAAATTAGCACCCCAAAGGGTTGCCAACTCTGTCTTGGGAAATTCCTGGAAATTTGGGGGTGGAGCCTGGGGAGGGACTTCAGTGGGGAATAATGCTACAGAGTCCACCCTACAAAGCAGCCTTTTCCTTCACAGGAATGGATCTCTTTATTCTGAAGTGCAATGGTAGATCTCTCCAGACCCCACGTGGAGGTTGGCAACCCCAGCACCCAGCCTGTAGGACATGGTAAACCAACCAAGTCATTGGAAATCTCGGCTGAAGGGGTGTATTGGACCATACCTGTAACCTGGGAAGAGCTCGAGCTCTTTCGGTGTTAAGTTCCTAAATCCCAAGACAATATCTTTCCAGGATGGATCCTATGGAGAAGGAAAAAGTTCAGGCCCATTGGTATGATAAGCGAGGGGGCAAAAATCCATAAATTATTGCCAGTATAAGGGAGTTCAAACCGGGGACTCCTGTAGTGGGACAAAGACCCCTTCCTGCTCCACCCAGGAAAACCTGCGAGCCACATCCTGCTTTTAAGGCTTCCAGGAAACCCACATAAGAATGTTAAGAAGAGCCCTGCTGGATCAGACCAGTGAGGGTCCATCTAGTCCCACATCCCATCTCACACAGCGGCCAACCAGTTCCTCTGGAAGGCCACTAACAGGACACAGGGGCCGAGGCTTTCCCCTGATGTCGCCTCCTGGCTCTGGGATTCAGAGGTTGACTACCTCTGAGCATTGAGGTTCCCTCTAGTCACCATGGCCAGTTGCCACTGATAAACCTCCCCTCCATGAATCTATCTGATCCTCTTTAAAGCCGTCTGTGCCTGCGGCCATCACTGCACCCTCTGGCAGCAAATTCCACATTTTAATCACTCTCTGTGGAAAGTAGTATTTCCTTTTGTCTGCCCTGAACCTACTGCCCATCATTCTCATTGGATGTCCTTGAGTTCTAGTATTTGGGGAGAGGGAGAAAAACTTCTCTTTGTCAACTCTCTCCGCCCCATGCATAGCTTGATAAACCTCTCTCATGTCCCCTGCCCTGTAGTCATCTCCTCCTCCTCCTCCTTCTCCTCCTCCTCCTCATCATTTATTTATTTTACGTTTTCACGGTATACAACCCAAAAAAAACTGTCTTAAACATAGGTATATCAGTCTATAAGTCGTACTCGACCCCATTTGGAATACTGTGTGCACCTGTCTTATTACTATTAAATTCATTGATTATTGATGTTAAATTTGGGCACATGCACTGTTTCTTGTTTTGATATATTATTTATTATTTATCTATAGTCAAATTTATACCCCGCCCTCTCCGCAAAGCAGGCTCATGGCGGCTTCCAACAACAATACAACAATACAGAACAAAAGCATAAATAGTACAGAATTAAGACACAACAATTAAAACAGTGTGTTACAAATGTTACAAAGTACCGGTGGCAGTTAAAAATAAACAAATGAGATGTTTTCAAATGAAAGTGCTTCGATGTTATTCCCCATAAGTGTTTGGATGTTATTTTGCTCATTCTTGAAGCAGCTGCTGATGTCAACATTACGGGCCGTGCACTAAGGCGATAGCGGCCCCACGTTATATGCTTGGTGGAAGAGCTCCGTCTTGCAGGCCCTGCGGAACTGTGAAACTATATTGCCGTGCCACTGCCTTTCATTTTGTATCTCAAATGCCACTATAATCAGCTACCTACCGGAACTGGCTGGGTGAAGAGATTGTACCCAGAGAGCGGGAAAAGGCCCATGTCTTGAGCTTCTGGGGAATTAATGTGCTCCAACATGTAATCAAAAGTCTCTTTGTTCCAGAGCCTGTAAAATTAAATAATACAGCGTCAGTATTCCTTTCCCCCCAGCATCAAAGGTTGCCTTTGGACAACGTGTCACAAGTCAAAGGGACAGCTGGGATTGGGACCAGGATATTATTAGGCTTTAAAAGCAGCTCTTGGTTCCAAAGGACTTACTTCCAAATCACCAAGTGAGAGAGGTTTGGTACTGGTGTCTGTAATGAAAAGACAATGCCATGCTAATTATGCTCCCCAAGTGTTCCTTCAGGGACAGAAACAGTAGAGAGAGATCGCCTAGTGCAGCCTCTCCTCAGAACAGAACATCCCACAATCGCCAGAAAATCAAGGCACTCCGTTAGTAAGCCCGGAGGCCGAAGAATTTGCTTTCAGGTGAAAGTACACACAAAGCTGCCTTCTACTGAATCAGACCCTCAGTCCATCAAAGAAGAAGAAGAAGAAGAGATTGGATGTATACCCCATGGCCCTTCACTACCCAGAGGAGTCTCAGAGCGGCTTACAAACTCCTTTCCCTTCCCCTCCCCACAACAGACACCCTGTGAGGTAGGTGGGACTGAGAGAGCTCTCGACAGAAGCTGCTCTTTCAAGAACAGCTCTTGTCAGAACTATGGCTTGCCCAAGGTGATCCAGCAGCTGCAAGTGGAGGAGTGGGGAATCAAACCCGGTTCTCCCAGATTAGAGTCCGCACACTTAACCACGACACCAAACTGGGTCTCTTGTCTGCTCAGTCTGGCAGTGGCTTTCCAAGATCTCAGGCAGGGGTCTTTCACGTCGCCTACCACCTGATCCTTTTAGCTGGAGATGCTGGGGATTGAACCCAGGACCTTCTGCATGCCAGGCAGAGGCTCTACCACTGAGCCAGGGCCCCTTCCGAAAGGAGTCTGAAAGAGATGAATATTTTTCAAGAAACAATCTCCCTTCTCTGCCTTCCCCCTTCTCTTGGGTGCACACTGGGCATCTGCAGGAAGGAGGGCTTTAACAGCAAGAAGAGGAAGAAGAAGAAGAAGAAGAAGAAGAAGAAGAAGAAGAAGAAGAAGAAGAAGAAGGAGGAGGAGGAGGAGGAGGAAGGAGGAAGGAGGAAGGAGGAAGGAGGAAGGAGGAAGAAGGAAGAAGGAAGAAGAAGAAGAAGAAGAAGAAGAAGAAGAAGAAGAAGAAGAAGGGGAAGAAGAGGGAAGAAGAGGGAAGAAGAGGGAAGAAGAAGGAAGAAGAAGGAAGAAGAAGAGATTAGATTTATACCCCGCCCTTCACTTCCCAAAGGAGTCTCAGAGCGGCTTACGAACTCCTTTCTCTTCTCCTCCCCACAACAGACACCAAGAAGAAGAAGAGGAGGAGAAGATTGGATTTATACCCCGCCCTTCACTTCCCAAAGGAGTCTCAGAGCGGCTTACAAACTCCTTTTCCTTCCCCTCCCCACAACAGACACCCTGTGAGGTAGGCGGAAGCCTTGACAGAAACTGCTCTCTTTCAAGAACAGCTCTAACAGAACTATGGCTTGCCCAAGGTCATCCAGCAGCTGCAAGTGGACGAGTGGGGAATGAAACCCGGTTCTTCCGGATTAGAGTCCGTGCACTTATCCACTGTACCACACTGTGTGAAACTATTCATGCTATTACTCAATGGCTCTCTTTTTTAGGAAGATTGGTTTTGCATATTTCATCAAAATGGACAGAGCCTGCGAAATTAAGCAACATCGGATCAGGTGCAGGAAAAAGCGTTTCACTGGCAAAGGCGGCAGGAGGTGCGGCCGGTGAGGGGGGAGGAGCTTTTGCTCTTACGTTTCCTGGGTGTTCCCCTTGTCGTAGAGGTACGGCTGCCAGAGTCCAGCTGCCCCGTCGCTGGTAGTGTGAGGGGTGAATTGGTCAGCATACACCTCAATCTCCAGCGGCTGATCTGTCAGGTGGTGCCGGTCGTAGATGCAGATGGCCGTGGACAGTCCGATCACGCCAGCCCCAATCACAGCAACTCTCATGGCGGCCTTCACTGGAGGGCTGAGAAGACAAAAGGGTGGCAGCCTTGCGCCTACAGATTTGGACGCTCGCCACCTAGTGGAGCATAACGCCAAAAGAGCTAGAAATTCTGGCTGCAAGACAACCTTAGGATCTCCTGGCTATATTGCACACAAGGCTGTGCAATAATTATTAATGATTCTTTGCAACACCCCTCCCACCTTTTGACTGGGATATAAGGGCCTGGGGAATTGGATCTGATGAAGGGAGCTCTGACCCTTGAAAGCTTATCCCTCCAAAAAAAATTTTGTTTGTCTCTAAGGCTGCTCCTGGACTTCGAATCTAGATAAAGTGTACCTAAAGGAAAACAAAGTACTTCTCTCTCTCATTGGTATTATTTTTTGTTTAATATATGTGTGCGCGCACACCTGGAAGTCATGGCGACCTCGGGTGACGGATCCCTACTGGGACCCGGAAGGATATTCAGAGAGGTGGCCGGATAAAGCCTGCCCCCACCACCCGCCTTTGGTATTCCAAGGAGGTCTCCCGTCCAAGTACTTGCCAGAGTCGACCCTGCTTAGCTTCCAAGATTTGAGCTTGGGGCTCTTTAGCTTGGAGAAACGACGGCTCAGGGGTGACATGATCGAGGTTTACAAGATTATGCATGGAATGGAGCAGGTAGAGAAATAAGTATTTTTCTCCCTTCCTCACTATACAAGAACTCGTGGGCACTCCATGAAATTGCTGAGGAGTCGGGTTAGAAAGGATAAAAAGAAGTACTTCTTCACCCAAAGAGTGATGAACACATGGAATTCACTGCCACAGGAGGTGGTGGCGGCTACAAGCATGGACGGCTTCAAGAGGAAATTGGATAAACATCTGGAGCAGAGGTCCATCAGTGGCTCTTAGCCACAAGGTATAGATAGGAACTCTCGGTCTGGGGAAAGGGATGCTCTGTATTCTTGGTGCTTGGTGGGGGGGCAACAGTGGGAGGGCTTCTAGTGTCCTGGCCCCACTGCTGGACCTCCTGATGGCCCCTGGTATTTTTGGCCACTGTGTCACACAGAGTGTTGGACTGGATGGGCGACTGGCCTGATCCAACAATGGCTTCTCTTATGTTCTTATAGGAACTCTCGGTCTGGGGCAAGGGATGCTCTCTATTCTTGGTGCTTGGAGGGGTGGGGGCAATAGTGGGAGGGCTTCTAGTGTCCTGGCCCCACTGGTGGACCTCCAGATGGCACCTGGTATTTCTGGCCACCGTGTGACACAGAGTGTTGGACCGGATGGGTCATTGGCCTGATCCAACATTGGCTTCTCTTATGTTCTTATTACTGCTACAGTGCTTAGAGAAGCTGCTTTTGAGGCACGGAAAAGCCTCTGCTGAAAACTGGCTGCTGCAAAAGCCTTAAGGTGCAGGGCAGGAAATTCCTTTGCTTTAAAAGACATGAAGCAGTTAAAAAAGAACTTTCCCCTTCATTCTATGAGAAAAAGCTCATCTGAGAACTGGAAAGAAAAGTGGGGCAGGGTTCAGCAGTGGGAAACTGGCCAGGGGATAACCCTAGGGAGAGGTTCCCGGGATATCTGGTAAGCCACTTGTGGAGAGGAAAGTGCGCAGGCCGGTTGTGTAAGCATAGAAATGCTAATTTTACTGAGAGCCAGAACACCAAAATCCATAGGCAGACTGCAGAGGGGTGGGCGGGGGTAACATAAAGGCTGCCGGCTGCCGGTTTCTAGGTCAGTGTGTCACCCCCAGCGGTTCCATCTGCCTCGCAAGCTTGGCGCATCTTCTGGCTGTGTCCACTCCAGCCACTGGCGAACAATAGATCCCTCTGTGTGCAGGAAGGCCCGGATGAAAGGGCTGCTTTTCGAGTCTCCAAACTGTGCACCCACGTGCCGGAGGGCTGGGGCTTCCCTCACTGCGGGGTCGTGAATAGCTGCTCTGTTACTGCCGTGGGTTCTTTTGGAGAGAGACAGCAGCAGAAGGAAACCCTGAGGAGGGCAGCAAAACTTCTTGCCAGAAATACGAAAACGGGAGAAAGGCTTAGTTGGGCTAGCTTTTCGAAAAAGAGGTTTCTGAAAGCCCTGAATTAATGCTGGCCCAGCGACCACTTGCTTGTCTCGCCGCCATGCACCCCCGGAGGAAGAACTGGGTCACTCATAGGATAGGCAGGTGCCTCTGAAATAATATTGTGGTGTCCTCGCTTATTGGGGAGACTGTTTCTCCTTTAAACACATCCTCTGTACATGAACTTAGTAGATTTTATGCTGCCACCAGGAATTACAAATTCCAACTCTCTCTCTTTTGGCCGAATGACCCAGTGTCTGGGTGCTTCAGAGGACTATGTGGCCCTGAGGAAGGACTGTTCTGATTGCTGGGATAAGTTTAAACAAATGATGATTTATTTATTAAAGAACAAAATAGGTTTCTGGGTATTTTTGAACTGTTGTTGAAGAAAGAAAATATAACTGACAAGGCTTGGCATCACACACAGTCTCTCATACACCAAAACTCAACTCTGACAGGCTTATCTCTCTCATATATAGCCACACAGGCTGAACTCTCTTGATCATAGCCACACGGGCAAAACTTTCTTGCTCATAGCCACACAGGCTAGACTTTCCCTTTCTTAGCCACACAGGCTAAACCTTCTCCTATAGCCACACAGGCTGAACTCTCTTGATCATAGCCACACGGGCAAAACTTTCTTGCTCATAGCCACACAGGCTACATGATTCCTCTGTCATACAGACTTTCACACAAAACTCTCCACACTCGTCTCTTCAAGAACACAGAATCACCTCAGAGACATCTCTCCTCCCACACTCTCAGTCATCTGCCAGACGCATCACACTTGTCTCCCTCTATCACTCTCCTTACATTACTGCAGTCACACTAAACATTTAAAGAAACACACACACCACAAATGGAATCATTACATATATCAATTGGACTGGACTTTGTGGGTCCGTCTTGCTGAGCGGTGATGGCCAGGATGGTTCCCATGCACGGACTGGCCAGTGGGCTGGTTTCTAAGAGCGAAAAGCCTTGCTCCAACATAGGGAGACCAAGGCGGGTGGCTCAGAGCTGACCAGAGAATCTTTGTGAGCAGAAGAAAAACTGCCTTTCTGAGGAATGAAAGCTCCTTTAGGGTGGAAGCATCAGAACAGGAGAACATAAGAACACAAGAGAAGCCAATGCTGGATCAGGCCAATGGCCCATCCAGTCCAACACTCTGCCACACAGTGGCCAGAAATACCAGGTGCCCTCAGGAGGTCCAGCAATGGGGCCGGGACACTAGAAGCCCTCCCACTGTTGCCCCCCCCCCCAAGCACCAAGAATACAGAGCATCCCTTGCCCCAGACCGAGAGTTCCTATCTATACCTTGTGGCTCATAGCCATTGATGGACTTCTGCTCCATGTATTTATCCAATGTCCTCTTGAAGCCGTCTGTGCTTGTGGCCGCCGCCACCTCCTGTGGCAGTGAATTCCATGTGTTAATTGCTCTTGGGTGAAGAAGGACTTCCTTTCATTCGTTCAAACCCGACTGCTCAGCAATTAGCCACAAGGTATAGATAGGGACTGGGGCAAGTGATGTTCTGTCTTCTTGGTGCTTGGGGGGGAGCAACAAGTGGGAGGGCTTCTGGTGTCCTGGCCCCACTGCTGGACCTCCTGATGGCTCCTGGTACTTTTGGCCGCTGTGTGACAGAGTGTTGGACTGGATGGGCCACTGGCCTGATCCAACATTGGCGTCTCTTATGTTCTTATGTTCAATTTCATTGAGTTCTTGTATTGTGAGAAAGGGGGGAAAGGACTTCTTTCTCGACCTGCTTTATCCCATGCATAGTCTTATAAACCTCGATCATGTCACCCCTCAGCCATCGTTTCTCCAAGCTAAAGAGCCCCAACCTTTTGCAGAGCAAACGGGTGAATGCAGGAGGCCGCATGGAGGGGAGGGATAGAGAGCCCTGGTGAAATCCAGCTCCAGTTCTTGAAGGCTAGGAGTTCCCCCTGAGAGGCTCTGAATTAAAAGCCCCACCACACCCCAGAAAGGTTTTCTTTCCTTGCAGGTAAAAAGTCCTGCTTTCTTCAACCAAGAGAGCTGAAACTTGACGTGTCTGCAATGCATTCACCGGGTTGCTCTGCAAATAGCAAGTCTGCGGGCATCCAGTACTTTCAGTTCCCTTCTGCCTCCCAGTCCTCTGCCCGGTTCCCACCACCTGATCCAAAAGCAGACGGGAGGAACGAAAGCAGCATGGCTTCCCCCGGCACCAGACTCCCGCATTTTTTCGCATGCCAAAAGCAAGTAAGCAAAGAAACGTTACCCTCTTGCCGCACCACGTCCAGAATGGCTTTCTAACGCTGCCCTCGGCCCCTGCTGCTCACACGGTGAACAGATTCCAAAGTTTGCTCGCATGAAGATCAACACAAACTTTGTCACACAACGACAGGTCGAAGTTCCCCAGGGAGGGGGCTGCTGCAGACAAGGAGGTGGAGTAATCGCTCTCTATAGCCGGGGAGGAGAGCTGGCATCTGTCCTGGAAGACTCCATTCTCCAAGGCAACAGCTGCTTCATACAATGGCCCCTCCAGTCCAACACTCTGTCACACAGTGGCCAAAAACACCAGGTGCCATCAGGAGGTCCATCAGTGGGGCCAGGACACTAGAAGCCTTCCCACTGTTGCCCCCCCAACCAAGCACCAAGAAGACAGAGCATCCTTCACTTGGAGTCTCAGAGCGGCTTACAAACCCCTTTCCCCTCCCCTCCCCACAACAGACACCCTGGGAGGTGGGTGGGACTGAGAGAGCTCTGACAGCAATGGCTCTTTTTCAAGAACAGCTCTTATCAGAACTACGGCTTGCCCAAGGCCATCCAGCCAGGTGTAAGTGGAGGAGTGGGGAATCAAACCCAGTTCTCCCAGATTAGAGTCCGACACACTTAACTACTACACCAAGCTAGCTCACTGAACAGGAAGAGGGGTTATTTTGTGGGGGCCCTAGCCTGTGCACAAGACGCCTGGATTC